AAAGCTCAGAAGTATATGTATTCTTTCATTTCAATCCATTATTTCTGTCAGAGGCATATCAACCTTGACCCGCAACTGACAATGTGTTTTAATTACAAGAAAATACACTTGTAATTCCAAAATATATTGCCAGTTTTGATACCGTTGGCTTGAGGACACGTGACTAGCCAAGTTCAGAATGTTCTAAGTAAAACTAAGTATCATAAAGCGAAAAAATGATGCTGCTAAAATCAAGCCATTTTGATCGCGCTGTGTTGGACATGATTGGGTTTTCATGAATGTGAGGTCTGCTGCCAAACTACTAGCATTTTTCTAATGGTTTCTTTCAGGATGTGTTCTCTCATCCTTTTTTTAAACAGTGGCATTTTATCAACTCACCTCTGAGCTTCTTTAGCCGAGAAATTTTGAAAAATCCAAAATCATATCAACTCACCCCCTGTGGGGTGGTGAGTTGATATGAACTTTGGCGTTTTAAAAAAGGGGCTTAATATATACATTTTTTATTCATTTTTGCTGATTGCCTCCCCAAGGCATGTGCCATGAAACTGGCACAAAAAGAATTCCGTAAATGAATGTGGCTTTTAACGAAATCTAGAATAACCTCAAAATCCATATCAACTCACCCCGGTTTACGGTACTTGCAGAAGACACGTGTTGGCCGGCCTGCACTCCTAGTGGAAATTCCAGACGAGTGGACGGTCATGCTCCAGATTTATGTGAAAAGTGGAAAGCTTCAAGTCACTGTGTTCTGCCTAACAATATGCCAGTTTCTTCACTTGCGTATCTTAGGCAGCGTGAGCTGCATATACTGAGATTTGTACATTTTTGTTGGAGCTTAGGAAACGGCCTTGCTCGCTCATTTATCTCGTGAACCAGGGGAACCCGCAACATTTTGCATTGAACGGATGAACACACTTATAAAGGAATCCAGTTGAAGAAACTGCTCTTTCCTTTCACTCGCCCATCATTCGGTGTGTAGTTAGGCCTCTGACAGGGGTCACTGACCTCTGACCTCTGACCGGTCAGCCGGCCAATGGACGGGGTTGGTCAGATAGGCGTCATCGTGGAGACTGCCGGAACATCTGAGCCGGTCTGGCGGTGCACGGTGGCGGCGGCTTCCACTCTAATTATCACTTCCCGTAGCCGTCTGCTGGGTAACATTCCGCCGTCCACCGTCCACCGCCCCGCCCCGCCCCGCCCCGCAGTCTTCCCGCCCGGGCGCGCACAGCTGTCCCGTCGCCGTGCTGGACTTCCCGACGTTTTCGGGCCGGCTTTCAGTGGTCCGGTGCCGCCGGCTGCGGGCTGGCCGCGCCGGACCGAGTCAGACCTGAGAACGGACCAGAGGACGGGGGCCACACCGCCAGACGCCGGAGCTGAGGTGGGGTGGTGTCGGAGCTGAGGTGGGGTGGCGCCGGGAGCTGAGGTGGGGTGGCGCCGGAGCTGAGGTGGGGACTGGGGTGGTGCCGGTGCTGAAGTGGGGTGGTGCCGGAGCTGAGGTGGGGTGGCGCCGGGAGCTCTAGTGCCTCCCTGGTTAGAAGTGTCACCGGCGCTCACCGTGTCGGTAGACATTTACCGCGACCAGAGCACCGCTGCCCTGCACGCTGCCGGTGCCTAGTAGCGTGGGTCAAAATGTCCTGTCTTTTAGCTGTAGTTGTAGCCTTTGTTAGCTATTACTTCGTGCCTATTAGAAGGTTCGTTACTTATTTCTTCATCTCTGCATGGTGCTTCGGTAGTGATATGGTTGCTTGTTTTCTTCGGACTCCGATATTGCCAAAATATCACTTCATGGAGCAGGTATGCCTAGAAGGCCACTGATTGGCCACTAATGAAGTGGCTGATGTTTCCACACTTCTTCAAAGCTTGGGCACTACTAATCGCTATGTTGGGCGTTGGTGTTTCAGTCCTTGCAGTTGTTTTGGGGGCTTCGTTTTGTAACATTGTGGATTGTTAAGACGTTGAGGAGAAAACTTTCTTACTGTTCAAGCGCATTTGATGGAGAAAGCTGCGTAACAAGCATTGCTATCGGCCTAAGAACTACAGAACTGAGCTGCTCCCTGTGCCTCTGCCGTTCTTGGCTCGGCCATTCTCATTTCCGACCCTGAATAGTCAGCTATGGGAGCTGAATCGCTAACTTATAATAATTTTACCTGCCTTGTGGTAGAAATGGCTGAACCTGCTCGTTAAACTATCACATTATAGGAAGCAACTAATTGGCACTTCCACCTTCGACAAAGTACCGTTTACGTGTGGCCCGGGTCATTCAGGGCTCTGAGTATCCCTCCTACAATAACACCTTCTATCTTCATACACTCCGACCGCCTCATCGTTTCTGCACTCATTCCGCCATCCGGTTTGAGGGCCCCGGTTTGAGAGCCCCGATGCGTGACGTATTCTGGGTTTACCCAGCTGCGGCCGTGGCTAACTATGACGTCATGTTCACGCCGGCTATCGCAGGGCGGCGGACCGGTGCCGCACACCTGGTGAGGAGCTGGGTGCCGCCCCGCGCGCTCCGTCCGTCGGTCAGTTAGCTGCAGCTCTGACCACCAGTCAGTGCAGCGCCGTCCGGTGGACTCTGTTCAGACGACGGCTCAGCTCGTGGTCCGAGGACCGTTCACAGGGTCCGGAGGTCGCAGACAGGTGTGTGCGGCTGACCCTGAACTGAGCGTGCCGGCCGGCGGGGGCTCGGTGGTTACAGTCAGCGATCAGTGCCCGGCGCGGAGGTGTCAGGAGCGGAGCGGGGAGGACGGTGACGAACTCAGGGACTGTGGCAGGGACTGTCGACCATCTGTGGCCGGCGCGACTCTGTGGAAGTCGAGAGGAGCACCCAGACAGGTGTGGAGGCCAAGGTCAGGAGGTGAGTCGGCGGCGTGTCTCATAAGCTCATACAGACCGGAGGTTCGTACCCACTGCCCAGGCGCTGATACGGACTGCGGCTGTTTTTGGGAATGTTTGGGGATCATATGCACTGCTCTATTGCCGCTGTCACACCGAAGCCGAAATGAAGAGGCTCTCCCCGTAGCATCGTACCTCGACCCAAGGGACACGCAGCTGCCACATGGCGTGTGTGTGCGCCGGCCATAGGGCGAGTACCCCGTGGCTAGCTCGCTCCCAGGGACTGTGGAATCCTACCACAACGGTGCGTGGTGTGAGTGCAGCCGTTTTCACCGAGACTGTGTGCACTCGGGTTATTCCGGCACTTTGTGCGGTCCAAACTGCTACTCATGCTGAGGCGAGCTGCTGCGGTTGCTGCGACGGATGGCCACTCCGACCGCAGAGAGAGCCTCCGACCGCAGGGACGACGCACGGTGGTTGGGAGCCGTTCTTGTGACACAAAGTGACTGCGGCGAGTACGGTGGGGCTGGAGAGCGGCGCTTTTAACATGGGAACGGGAAACGCCCAGATGCCCGTGTTCGCGTGGGAATATGGTGCCATTAATAAATAAGATAAATAAAGATGTCCACCGTCCAATTTCTGCGGCGATCCTGCTTCCCTCGTCGATGGACGGGTTTCTGGTGGTAGACCGGAGTTTCTCACACTGTTACCCGGGAGCCAGCCTGCCCGGACTTCAAAGCTACCCACATGGCTTCTCTCGGGCGTACCCGCGCCGGTTGCACAGATCGTTTGGCTCATCTACACACCTCACCCAGATCTGAAACCCGCTCTGCTGTTTCCCAACGAGCGGGATTGATGTGGAAGCCGTATGCGCCGGTGCGTATTGCGGACTCGGACCCGTGCTTACGGCTGACCGTGGACGGGGGACGGGACGGGAGTTTTATGCGCCAGTGCGTACCCGGATCCTGTTCACTTGTTCAGTGTCCACGGTCTACTGAGCTGCCGACCTCTGAGTCACTGATTGTCGAGAGGACGGTCGGGTGCCGCCCCGCCCTCCACCCCACCCCTCTCTGTCTTCTGCGGGCGATTTCATGCCACCGTATGAGTGGCTGAGTCCCGGGCCCTGTTAAATGCGAAATGCTACCTGATGCCACCAGGTATTGGTGCTCGATTACTATGGATATGTGAGAAAAAAAAAATGGACAATCCTGCTGATATTTCCATAGAAATCGAGCGTCAATACCTGGTAGCGTCGGGCAGCGGCGTGCCGTGAAACAGAGCCCGCACGGTGCTGCCTAGCCACACGTCAGCCGTGTTACATCACCGGAGCAACCGGATTTGATCCGGTGACGTCATTACGAGTAGGCCAGTGACGTCATCAGCCGACCGAACGGCGGACTACCTCTGAGCGCCACGGATCGCTTCCCGATCCGCCGTGAGCCATGGGCATAATGATGGCTTTCTCTGGGGTTATTACCTTCACTTATAGCGTCATTCATCAATGCATCGCGGCCGATATTCCTAGAACCCCGGATCGTAAATGAAACCGGTAACCCGACACTTGGTCCCGTGGTGGGCGGAATCCAGATTACTTTACTACCAGGTGGAATGGGGTCTCGCGGTGGGTATCGTGTGAGCTCTCTGAGGGCCCACAGTGCATGGGCGCAAAATGACCGGGGACCCCAGTAGTCGGCGCGCCCTAAAGATCCAAAAAACAAACCCTTGAGGCTGTGTTTCGGGGTGTGAGCTATTGCCGGTTGATATCGTCTCGATAGCGGGCGGACCCAAACCGGTGGTCCCGATAGGACCCGACGGGCCGTCGGGCGGGGATATCAGATCGATACGCACGATTAAAGATAGGCTGTGGTACGGGGCGGTATGGCAGTGGCTTGTCGGCGCGCTGGCTGGCAGGGCATCCTAGGACCTCTCCCGCTGCAATCACGGTTTTACGCTTGTTAGGGGACATCTGGTGAACACTTGTGCTTAGTGCTATTATCGACTTTCACGAATGCCGATCTACAAGTCTGAGTGGGCTGGGCGGGATTCTAACGTTTCTGGCTGTCTCGATTCACCAGTGTGATCGTTTTCACCTGTCTTCCGCTGTCATTTTGTGTTCCTATTTCTCCGGCGTTACAGCGGCTGACTGTGGTTTTTCCGTCTGTTTGCAGTGGATGTAATACAGACGGACCTGGACTACGCTGACACAAACATGGCTGGATACGCGCCGGCCGGACCAGTGCCGCGGCCCGACGAGTTCGACCCCCTCATCCGAGCCAGGTGAGATGACTGTGACCCCTCTCCGCGCGGAGCCTTGACAACTCAAACTCGGCTGATCGAATATTTCCCGAAGATGTGTAGATTATTTGCTGTAGGATAGGAAGGAATATTTATTGACTGATATGCGATTTGAACAATAGGACCTGTCGACCACACACCCAGGCTGCCCATTGTTGGTCCGTTGGTCCTTTGATGCCGTGAAGGCCGGCCTGTCTCCTGTACCCCGCCCGGCGGCTCTGCCGGCCTGCTATCACAATGGCGGTACCCATGAGCTGCGTGCCGGCCGCCATTGCGGTGCGAAGGTCACGGCCGGTGCACTGCAGGTGACCGTGATCAGTCGGCGGTCTGATCAGATCCGATCGGACCGGACCCGTCCGACCGCGCCGGCCGTGCGTGCGTCCGTGTGTGTATGTCTGTGCGCGCGGCGCGTGTGACCTTCACGGCTGTCTGGCGGCTCCGGGGAGCCGGAGCTGGAGCCGGGGCCGACCTTGGGCAGCTGATCGGGGACGGAGGGCCGGGTTTGTGCGTGCAGCCTGCACAGTACACACAGACTGGTTAGGAGGAGGGAGAGGTGGGGGGAGGGGGAGCGGTCTGTGCGCAACGCTCACAGAGCCCTGTGGGGTGGAATGGATGGTTGTCTTATGTGGGAATGTTGAAAGGGTATCATAGTTCGGTGTCAGGTAATACTGTCACAGATTCACACACGATTATTTTGGCGATGAAACAGATTTACACACTGCAGCTATCTGATGATCGTTACCACGTGAATGAAAAACGCACTTTTCAAGTCAGTTATTTGTTCATCCCATGACGATGGAAGGTAAGGTTAAACGAAAATTTTTATCGTTTTCAGCTCCGAATAGATAAGGTATGTTTATCATCCGCCTTATGTCGGTCCATCTGACCTGTCTCCCTCCCTGCAGGCCGCAGGCCGATGTCCTCCCCCCCCCCCCCTCCCCCGGCAGGCGGTAGGCTGACGTTCCCTTCCCATCCCTGTAGGCAGCAGGCTGACCTCCCCCCTCCCTCCTGACAGGCGGCAGGCAGAGGTGGAGATCACCGAGCAGCCGGCCTCCAAGGCACTCCGGTTCCGGTACGAGTGCGAGGGCCGCTCGGCCGGCAGCATCCCCGGCGCCAACTCCACCGCCGACAACAAGACCTTCCCCAGCGTGCGCGTGGTGGGCTACCAGGGCCCGGCCGTGGTGGTCGTCTCGTGTGTCACCAAAGACCCGCCGTACCGGCCGCACCCGCACAACCTGGTCGGAAAGGACGGCTGCAAGAAGGGCGTCTGCACGGTGAACCTGAACGTGGAGACGATGTCGGTAACGTTCCAGAACCTGGGCATCCAGTGCGTGAAGAAGAAGGACGTGGAGGAGTCGCTGCGGCTGCGCGAGTCGATCCGAGTCGACCCCTTCCAGAGTGAGTAGTCGGGGGGTGAGAGTCTGTCCGTCAGGGCCCCTTCCAGAGTGAGTAGTCGGGGGGTGAGTCTGTCCGTCATGGCCCCTTTCAGAGTGAGTGGTCAGGGAGTGAGAGTCTGTCCGTCTGGGCCCCTTTCAGAGTCAGGAGTCGTGGAAGAGAGGGTCCATCCCTGTCCTCTCAGAGAAGGAGGTCGAGGTCGTCTCTGGCAACGGGGGTTCCCTGCCTGCTGAATGACGTGACATGTCCTTGCTGTTCTGGCGCTTACAGTTTATCGTGTAGTTAGTGGGTCAAAGATGGGGATATCCATTCAGCGAAAACGTGCGATGTAGGCCAGAGGTAGAGCGTCATTACAATTGTAAAGAAACGGCTCAAGGCAGATGGGTAGATTTCATGGCCTGTGTAAATCGTTAGTCATTCCGCCGAGCACTCTGCTTCCAAGACTCTAGGCTGGTATTCATGATACAGCGCATACGTAAGGAGTTTATGTCGGTAGTTATACGAACGGTCCTACGCTCCGTCCGGCCGCGGTGCGCCGCGCGCTCCACCGCCTCCATCTCCGGCCGGTCCCTGCGGTCTGGCCGCGGGCCAGAGGCGCGGCCCCCTGCGTCGGAGGCAGCGGCAGAGGTGGCGAGGGCGCCTCTAGGGCGGCCACAGTAACGTACCGGGGACGGGGGTCGCGGCGGCAGCTGGGGTGGCCGCCTGTCGTTTTGGCAGATACAGGCGGAATACAAGTCACAACCGGTAAAAGTGCCTCAGTTTTGCTGTTGGCAATGCCAAAACAGCTTGAAAAGGTCTGAAAATAATTGATATTTGTAAAAGGGAACGGATCGCGACAAAATTTGAAGAACGCGGTAAACGTGGGCCTTATGAAATAAAAAAGAACGACCCAATGCACATTTATTTGGCTTCGGTCGTAGCATTTTGGGGCAGAAGTCAAGCGCTCACTCTGCGACTGGTCGCTGGCCAAGTACCAACGAAAAGAGCACGCGGCGCTCGGTGAGTCCATATTTCAGGGAACGGTTGTCGACCAAAGCCCTCAACAAATTAGCTGACAAAGGCTATCAGCCCATCAATATCACAGACTTTTCAGAAAGGTCAACATCGGAGAAAGCCAAGAACACAATGATCGATGATAACCGTGAAAATATTAAGTCCAATGCCGGCGAATTTGATTTCGGTTCACCTGCCAGGTTAGACAGCGGTTATCCACCGTTTTATCTGCAGAAAACCTGCAGCTAATGGCGGCTGCTGCGCGTCCAGTTATGTTCATCTGACCTTGACGCTGCCTGGATTCCGCTCATTACTGCCAATATTCATTTCTTAAAACCAACGTTACACACATTCGACGCTTCAGGCATGTATTATATATCCCATATCATACATATACAAATGCAATCAGTCTGCGTTGGTGCTCCGCACGGTCCGGGTGCTTCCGACCGACCCGCCGGTATTCGAGGCGGTGTCTCTCCTCATGGAGACGGAAGTCAAGGAAGTCAAGGAAGTGGTCAGCAACCTCTCGGCAAGGTTTGCTAAGCTGGAAGAGGCAGTGGCAGCTATTAGCCAGCAGCTATCATACGACAGCGCCGGTCGTCGGCTAGTCGTAGAAGACGGCCATTCACAGGCTCAAGACGCAACTCCCGGTGAGTTCGAACTGGGGTCTTCAAGGGACCTGCAAGCGGATTTTAAATCAATCCGAGATAAAGTGGCCAAAATCAAGCTGCCTGCCGACCTAGTCGTAGGAGATTCGAGAACTGGGGTAGGACGGAACGACTGGCCGAAGTTCCAAACTATTCAGCGTTGTGCCAGATTTCAGGAGACAACTTTAAAGATACTGTCTCAGTGTTCAAGCGCCAATTCAGAGTCGGTCATCGCTGACGTCACGACAATTGCGCTTGCGCAGCTCAGATTTTTGCAAGAAGAGTATACCAACCTTCTCGTGGCGAATCAGTTTGACGACGGAACGACGAAGTTGTTCCAGACGCTCCAGAACAACCCAGCGTCGTTCTCGCCTGGAGCGCTGGAAAATCTCCAGCGGGCTGTCTCTATCTCCGGAGCGCGCCGCCAGGTCAGTGCCGCTGACAGATTCCGCGGCCGAGGTGGCTCGGGGCCGAGAGCTCCAATGTGGGGCCGTGGGAGCTGGCGCCATCATCCGCGATACAGGTAACTCCGCACGAACCTCGCTCCCAACACCGACTATAGCCTACATCAACGGAAACAGGAGCTTCTGCTTAAGCCACACAGAAACTTAACGAGCGCAATCATCCGCGATACAGGTAACTCCGCACGAACCTCGCTCCCAACACCGACTATAGCCTACATCAACGGAAACAGGAGCTTCTGCTTTTGTTTGTTTGTTTGTTTTGTTTGTTTTGTTGGGTTAGGCCCTTTCGGTCGACAAGACCATTGCAGAGCCGGAAGGATGATAGGAATTAGGGGGAGACATTGGTCTGGGCAGGCACCCTAGTGAGTCGCCGGGGCTGAGCCCGTCCGAAGACAGGCCACCCAGCCCCAAGGCACTCACTGCACCCGGCTACGGGGTGCGCTCCCTCGGGAGCAGCGGTGCCGCTCCAAGGGAGCAGCCCGCATGAGATAAAGTTGCCTGTCCAGCCCGGAAGGGGGTTGAGGTGTGGAGGAGAAGGATTTCAGTATCCTGAGGATAGAAGCACGGATAGGTGAGCTTCTGCTTAAGCCACACAGAAACTTAACGAGCACCAACGCAGACTGCCCCGGCCCGCGACCCAGCACCGGGTCGCGGGTCGGCCACCTTGCGGCGAATGTGGTAACTACGGTTGAACAGCGCCGGTACGATGGTCGCTCTTCGCAGATACCATCTGCACCAAAGTACGGTCATGAGCTGTCATTCACGCAGATGCAGCTCCGCGTCGCGACCAGTCCTGACTGGGAGCCAAATGCCTGGATGCGCCTTCTGTTGAGTGTCGGCCGACCCTCGTACATAACTGTGATCCACATTGGCCCCTTGCATAACGCTACACTGTGCTGTTTTCCGTGGCGGCCCCTAATGTATTCCGCCGTTACACGACTGTAAAGTGAGTACTCCGCTGTTCCGCCTCAGATGACCTCGCGGTCGGCGCGTCTGTAAACTCCCGCCGTCCGTGCCGCTCATCCAGACGGCCTCACTATTCAGCGTATGGAGCCGCCATGCGCCCTGTCGAGCCGCTGTCTGACGTCCGATCCGATACCCCAGCGGCAGTGATTTCCATAACTGTCACGGTGACGCCGTCTGTCCGGTGTCGGTGCCAATGTTTACATTAACCACCTCCTATCCCCCTCCCAGGGGAACCGGGGGACGTCATTAATGGGCCAAAGAGCTGAGAAAGGGACGGACAGGATGTGGAGGTTTCGTTCACAAACCGAAATCAGTAGAGCTTTATTTAAAAATAGACCCGCGGGATGACTTAGTTAAGACGATCCCTGCCTCAGGTTCCCGTACGTACCACGGACCTCTGTATCCCCCTGGTGTCAGTTGCCCCGCCCCATGACACTTTCTGACCCGTGCCGTACCCATTGTTCCCCCCCCCTCACATAACCCATTGACCTGTCGGTCCTGCCCCCCCCCCCCCCCCCGCTCCCGTCTGTCCGTCCGTGGCGGTCCGATGTTATCACCGATCGCCCGTCCGCTGAGGGCACGGCCTGCCGGATGTATGTACTGCAGGCCGGAAGGCGTGGCTGGCGATTGTGTTATCGAAGCGACTCTGTGTTATCAGGCTGTAACGGGGGACAAAAAAGGTCCGCAGCGCTCACTGATGTGCCAGCACTGGTTATCGGAAGGGTATGTCAGCGGTCGGAGGAAAAAAACTACGGTCATTGTTTAACCCTCGCCGGCCGAGGGGGGGGGGCGGGTGCCCCCCCCATAGGGTTTTTTTCGCGATAGCTCCGAACACGCTGGCGATAGAGAGCTGAAACTTGGCATACCTGACCTTTGATCCAAGCCGGATCTTTTGACACCAACCGCATTTTTGGGTCAGGTCAGGTCACTGACCTATGACGTCATAAGTGAACCTCTGCACGGTCTTCAAATGTCGCAACTTCGCAACGCCCTCACTGCCAGAGGAGATGTCACAGGGAAATGAAACTTGCAGGATCTAGTATCCATTATGAGTCCCACAACTTGTATATCTCGGATTTTTCCTAAAGGTCATATGAGGTCAGGTCATTTTCGTCACCTCACCATTATAAGTCAATGGGGAAAAATGAAAACTGCTATTCTGGCGCCGGGAACGATCTCCAACTATCTCAAGCACACAGAATCGTGATTTGATGCACTCCTTGCAAGGTTAGATGCGTCACTTTTGCAATGTTGACCTTCCGTGACGTCATTTATGACGTCATCAAGGTCATATTAGTTTTTCGTCAATAACTCTTGATCAAATTGAGCTAGCGAGTCGGGAAAGCCACCAATGGACTCAGGAAGACCTGCCGAATCGAATGATATGCGACATGACCTCTTTCGACCAACCTCGTGACCTGGGGGTGCTGACCTGACCTTGACCTGAGGTCAACACCCCAAGTTGACCTGACCCGGACAAAAAGCATATCATTCGACGCGCCTGAGCGAGACGAACACGATGCTGCCAAAATCGGCGCTCTGCGGCCGTTTTTTGCGAAGTTATTCACCAAAAACGGAACCGTACCTTGGGGCACTTGACCTGACCTCAGAGGTCACCGGTTGACCTAGGACCTTAAAATCGGGTACCAATTTCTGCGTCTCGTAACGGCGCACACGCTCGTTTTTTCCGCGACGCGCTAGCTCCACCAGGGGCGAAACGGCGAGGGGGGGGTCGTACCCCCCCCCCCTCGGCCGGCGCGTATGTAGAAAACCAATAGGTCCGGCGAGGGTTAATGTAATGTGCCGTTTTCAATGGCGTGTAAATTTGATGAAATGGTCCTCCACCGACAGCGTTTTTCATGGGCAGACAAATAGGGTGTTTTCTGTGCCCGACCTTTTTTGCGAAGGTAAACCACATCATACCGTTATGACTTATGTTTGAGTATCATGCATTGACGTCAAGATATATATCATGCATTCTCTTTAGGCTTTAGTTCAAAATGTCTACCGTTTTTTCTGCTTGTTCCAGTGCGACAAGGTCATGATCGCTGATAGTACACGACCTGTTGTGGGGCTGTATTGGACGATGTGACCATGTGTGACCTGGTATGACCCTACGTTCCCTTCTGTACCATATGTTTCTTACTGTGACCCTGTGCCCCCGCCTGTTCCAGCCGGGTTTGACCACCGCCTCCAGCCGACCACCATCGACCTGAACGCCGTGCGGCTGTGCTTCCAAGTGTTTGTCGAGGGCCACAAGCGGGACCAGTACGTGGTGCCGCTCAAACCTGTCATCTCGGACGCCATCTACGATAAAAGTGAGGCGTGAGGCACGTCCGGTCCGTACACCCCGTCCCCTTACCGCTCAGAGGTGTGCCGGGCGGAGTGGCACCGCGCCGACAGACGATACGGATAGTGCTGAACAGGTGGACAGGTGGTGCGGAACGTGGGGGGTGGGGGATAAGGATTAGATATCACGAGAAGGGAATGTGAAGATGAAAGCTTAACGCGTGATATCGGCGCCGGAGACAAAGTTTGGCTCTGCTAGTCTGAGACTGCCTTAGGGAAGACGCGTTTGAGGAATGCCCGACAGCCGCCGCACACAGGACTCCGTGACAGAGGACCGTTAGCTGACCTTGCTGGGATGCTCTCGCCAAGGCCACCAGGCTAGGATCGCTGTGATACCATTTGCAAGTGTTATACTGATACATCACTGATCTGATTTAGCCTCCCATTCTCACGGCTCTACAAATTCACGGCCAAAGCCAGGCTCGGTTGCAGCCCGTTCCAGGCGATCTGGTGCCATCCGCTCTCTCCCGGGGAGAGTTGTGCAGAGAGTGGGGCCCTGCCTAGTTAGTATGTACGGAGCTGAGGCTCCCAGCTGTCTGCAGTACCGGGGGGAGGGAGATGGGCCCACTCTGCGGCGCCGTGTCGGTCCACAGGGAGGGGAGGGGAGGGCGGTGTGACTCAGTGCTCCCAGCTGAGTGTGTCAGCGGCGGCGGCGGCGGCGGCTCTCCTCCGCCGGGGAACCCCCGACTCTGAGTCACTCCACGCACTGCGCACGAGATCGGTGGCGCCTCTGAGACCGCCCGACCTTTGGGTAACGACCCTGGGCGTGCCCCGCGGCCATCCAATGGGTCACTCTGTGTCACCGCTGACTCAGGCAAGGCCGGCCGGCCGGCCGGGCGGCCGTGCGGCGCCGTTAGGGGCCGATCGATGGGCTGACGAATTCCGCTGTGACGTCACCGCCCATTCAGCCGGGACCGTTTCGGGGTTGGATCGATGGGGCTGACGAATGGCGCCGTGACGTCATCGTTCATTCATTTCGGAGGAGCGGAATTCCGCGGAGGGCCCGGTGGACTGGGGAGGGCGGGGTGTTTGGGTGAGGGAGGTCGGCTGTTTGGTGGTTGGTAGGGATGACAAGTCCGTATGACGAGCTATGAGTAATGTGGGTCTGTGTGCTGGGAGGTATGTAAACTCAACTGTGAGAGGCACAGTCCATTCGGAAACGATAACAGAGAAGTCGTTCAATGTATTTGCGTCTTACAAACTTCTCGGTCAGCTATTACTGAGTTGATAAGGAAAAACCATATCTGATGTCAGTTTTATATTGCATGCACAGTTGATCGGTGTAAAAGAACCAACTGATTGAGCCGTTTGTCACCTCTGGCGTCATTGGCTGCACAGTGCACACTGCACATTTGACATGATGCCAGCTGTATCAAACAAAAATGTAGATAGAGTCCCGGATTTATAACGAAATTGTGAACCCGTCTGTAGCTGTCGACACAGCGGGCGCCGCCCAAGGCCGAGATATCGTATCAATTTCTCCCGAAATCTGCCCATGTGGGCCCCCATTGTTTCCCAGTAAGGCTTAACGTTGAGTGTTGACTATCTGTCAACACCTGTTTGGTTAACAACGCTTTTGATAGTGTTAATCTACAGACTACAACAGATCAAACGGACCTGATTACCCAAACGTGTGTGTACGACTTGTGACAAACCTGCGCCGTTTTCCTGCTCAGGTAACAGTTTCCCCGTCATCTCTGCTATAGCGCCTTCAGCGCACGTTACTGAATCTTTATCGGCCCGCTGACGTGGTCCGTTGTATTCCAGAGTCCATGTGTGATCTGGTCATATACAAAATGTCCGACTGTTCGGCCTCAGTGGCCGGTGGAAAGGATATCATCCTACTCTGCGACAAAGTCACCAAAGGTAAACAGGTGGGCCGTGGGTATCACGGGGCTGGAGAATGGACTGGGCCGGCCAGCTGATCCCTCAGACGCGTCACAGATACAGGGTGTCCCATAAGTTCCTTCTCACCTAAATTTTTCGTTTAGAGGCTCTCTTGTTTAAAGTCACGCTAATTTTATTTTGTAACTGAGCTTTTGGGGTTGCCATGGCAGCTGTGAATATGCTCCACAGTAGCTAATTCGTCTAGATAAAATATTTTTTGCAAGAGAGTTCACTTCCTGTGGGGACGGCTTGCGCCGCAACATAGAGGTCTCCGATACGGGTACGTCTCGTTATTTAGTCCGCACGTGGGCCATTTGCGACGTTGAGGGTGATTGAGGCCATCCAGTCTGTAGCCAATGTCTGCCGCTAACTGGACGCACAGTCGGCAAGTGATGCCGATGATTTGTCGGGAGTCAATCGCTGCAAGGCTATGCTCTTTTTTGTCAGCTCTCAGGAGTGAGCCATGTGGCCAAAACGGTGTGGCGCCAAAGTGGCCGTCAAAAAGGTCTTAGCGTTAGAAAGTTGGTAAGCAGTCTTCAGGATGGATTACCAGCTGTCTGAGAGTATTATTTCGGGGTACATAACTCACGGTCACTTAGGCTTAAACTTAACGGAGGACGCAAAACAGTCGAAAATGTCTTAAAATGGCCAAACATTTGTTTCGTTATGCCTGAGGCTAAACATTTGGAGGGCCGATGACATCAATGTGGTCATCTGGACTACCTAGTCCGTGTTCGAGATAAAACACCCGTCTAAACCCCAAAACGGTCCCATATGGGCGACGGAAAAGGCCTTCGTGTCATCCCGCTTTATTCCTATGCCAAAGGCCAGGGTCACGGTAAAGTGGGGTAATATGCGTCCAGACGCTGAGCAGGTTGCGATTGATACTCCAGAAACAGTGTTGGGACGCAGAATGCTTCTCCAAGAAAATCTAGGAGGAGTTTCAGCCTTCTTGCTTAACTCGAACCGCAAGTATGAACACATTTTGGGAGGAGAAAATGGCATCCGGGAGGTCGTAGGCCCATCTTCAAGCAAGACAGTGCATCAGTGCAGAAGTCAAGCAAAGCTTAAAAGCAGTGCCAGGAGACTGTGCAGGCGTCTGTGGCAAGACCACATCCCAGGCAACTCATCGGATCCAAATTTCATAATAATGTGTTGGAAATATTGAAATTGAGGCTCGTCGAAGCGAAGCGCTGTTCCAGCCTCGAGGAGCTCACGGTGCATGTCAAGTCAGTCTGGGCTAACTTCAAGCCTGCTATACTGCCAAACATGCCGGTTGGCATGCCGCAGAATGTATTCATGTGTTTGCCTATGAAATGGGGAGCACATTGAGGGGTCATAAACATATCAAAACGCTATGTACTCTGTTTTACATGCAAATATAAGGTGAGAACGAACTTATGGGACACCCTGTATATCAACATGTTGCAGAGTTTATCGCATCGTGCATCGCCATCAAGTCCATACTGTGCTATGCGCATTTACTTCGTTGATTGTATCTGGGGTAATTAATGCAACCGTATTTGTAGTTTGTACGTATTAGCACGCTAGTTTTCGCTACAGCACAACAGGCACAAAAACGCTCTCATTAGATAGACTTTGCGGTGCGTAAACTGAGCATAAATAACAGCTACACTGGTGTGCAGATATAACCGGCGCAGCATTGTAACACACTCTCAGCTGACGGTATATCGGCCGTATTCCAGACGATATTGAGGTGCGGTTCTTCGAGGTTCGCGACAACCGACTGCACTGGGAGGCATTCGGCGAGTTCTTGCCTGCCGATGTGCACAAACAAGTCGCAATCTGCTTCAAAACGCCACGCTACGCATCACTAGAGGTACGCTCAATCTTACCACTAAATCTTAGCAGCAAACCTTAGATTGGCACGCTACCCAGTTTATTGCGGCTCAGCATTCACCTTCAGCTGGTAATGTAATACCTGGCTAGTTTTATAGCTGAGCCCCTTCAGCAACGCTGGCTTCGTGCAGCTGTTCTTCTGAGCCAAATGCTAAACTGGTGTCCTGTAAACCCCCGGAACATGCCGTGCTAGTACGGCAGGGAATATGCTCCCTGCACCGAGCTGACGGGATTCCGTCCGGCTGGGATCCGGGCCCCGTTAGCCGGGTTTCCTGGACGGAGGCGCCCCGTCTCCGTGACTTACCTCACCGGTCGCCCAGTTTACCGCCGGGCGGAGTCACGACATGGCTGCATACCGCCGGCCAGCGGCGTAGTAGTATAGTAGAGGCCTGGATCAGTGCAGTGCATGGGATACGGTTATATGAGTTACACGGTAATGAGTAACAACAGTACCTACCTACCTGATATAGATCAGAAACTAGTTGAGTTCCATATTCATTAAAAACATATCGATTGGATATCGATCCTTGTCCTGTCTTTTCGTGTAATGTGCTGTCTGTCTACGTTCTTCCCGCTGACGGTGACCTACCGTGGTCCAATCCTACCATATCTGCCCTTTCTACCTTGTTGTCGGTCCCTCCTATCCTATGTCATGCTCTGACCTGACCTGACGTGCCCCTTTCCCCCGCCTGCCGTCAGCTGGAGTCGCCGGTGCGCGCGCAGATCCAGCTGCGCCGGCCGTCCGACAAGCAGTGCAGCGAGGCGCGTCCCTTCACCTTCACACCGCTCGACTCAGGTAGGCCCTTCTGGTCGTACAAGCGCGCCAAGACGCACGTGTCGCTCTTCCACCGGCTGCTGAGCTGGGAAACGGGCGACGAGCCGAGCGCCAAGCGCGGCGCCTCGGCCGACGGCCGGCGGTCAGCCGAGCTCACCTCGGCCGTGCTGGGAGACCTGCCCGCCCCCGCCCCCGCCCCCGCCCCCGCCCCGGCCGAGGTGCAGCCGCCGCTGCCGCCCAAGCGGCTCCACCGGGTGAAGCGGGACACGGACTGTGCCGACTACGCCCTGCCGATGCCGGGCCAGTCGCGGGTGGAGGCGCCCACTAAAGCCGAGATCCTGCTGAGGCGGTACACGGCGCCCAGTCCCGGCGGAGAGACCAGCCCCGGCCGCGGCCTCCTGGCGGCCGACTTCAACAACGGAAACTACGAGCGCGTTGAACAGATGGCGCTGTACGCCGGCGTGGCGCCGATGGCCTCCGCGTCCGAGTTTGACGAGGCCAGTCTGGCCTACTATGATGTGGATAATAACGTCAGTGGGCCGCCGCCCAAACCGACCCACGACGACGAGGAGATATACGGCGCGTGGATCCGCCGCTGGGGCAGCGTCACCTCCATACCCACCACCGTGCTCGATCTGTACGTGTAGGGCGCCGCTGAATTTTGTCCGTGGAGGTGGTAGTCTTCTGGAGCACGCTCACCGCGCTGCGAGCGTGACAGTAATTGTTTGCTCACCAGGAGCCATAATGTTTGTTTTTGTAGTGCTGGGCACTCGCTGTTATTCGAAGGCAGCGGCTGATGTTCGGAGCAGCGCTCAATTTTGTCAGTTTCGTCTGTAAAAAGCGCCTCTCACTTTTTGTTTCGGGAGGCTCGTTCAGACAGGCGAAGGTTTTTATAGGAGCGGATTCCCGCGTGCGTCAAGCAGACCTCACTTGTTTGCTCCCGCGGTGTTTTGTGAGCCGGTCTCGGCCTGTTGTCTGTTTCCTTTGAACTTGTTGCAGGGTAGGGCGCCGGCCGGGCGGTGCTGGATGCTGCTCTGTCCGTTTTGGACCGGTTCGACCTCTGCGAGTCGATCACGGCTGGTCGGTCGTGCGCGCTGTCTGCCGTAGTGACCAGTCTGTCTAGCCGCGGTGACCAGTCTGTTAGCCGCGGTACGATCTCCAAGTGTGGGTGGGAGCGGTGGGAGGCGGCCGGCCGCGCCGCTGGTCGGACGGTGGCCGGCGGACCAGGCGGGACTCCCAGTGGTGTGGAGCACCTCTGCCGTCCCCAGGGACGCGCTCTGAGGGCCGGAGGGGCCGCCAGCTGCGGTTTGTGCAGTGTTCGGCACTCCGCCGTTATGTATACGGGGTGTGGCGGCGGTAGTTCATTGTTTGCACTGGAGGGTGACGGTGTTTTCACCCGGGCTCAGTTGAACCGTTGTCGCGTTTTCGCGTTTTGTTATCCCCGTAGAAAGACAGCTGAAGCAACCCGAAATCCCCGCGCTACCCCGTATTTTCTAGGCAAACTAATCGCAATGATGCATTATTTGATACTAGTCCTTGTGCGCTGTTGATAAGTATGTGTGAACCCGTTTTTATACCGACGAGCTTTTATTCGTCTCGTCGTAACCATCCTACATAGCATAAAGTGTGATATAATGACAATGGGTGCGTCTGCGTATGAGAAGTCACCGTTTTCCGTGCGTTGTTTGTGTGTTTTGTCTCTCGACCCCGGTCTGATCTTGCCGCTGGCGCTGACCCCTGCCCGACCTCTGACCTGTGTGTGTGACCTCTGACCTGTGATCTTTGTCTGACCTGTGTGTGACCTCTGCAGACGGTATAGAGGAGAAGAAGAGGAAGATGGCGCGCAACTCTGGCCGTCTTCAGCAGTACCTGGCCGATAACCTGGGCGGCGATCAGGGTCCCAGTGAGTTCTTAAGTCCCGGGCCTCCTTGCAGGGAGCGCTTTGGAGGACGGCGGAGACTCGGGTGGCTGTCTCGGGTTCTCTCGGTGCCTGTCTCGGGCTCTCGGCTTTACAGGTGGCGGCGGACGTCTCTCGGTCCTTCCCTGTGCCCTCTGCACCGGTGGTCGGTCGCCCGCCCGCCGGCTGTCGGCGGGTCTCTGTCTCCTCCGCTTGCCTCTCTGCGCTATCGCTTCTGGCTTTGGGTCGGGACTGTGGAACGCTGGTATCGCTGCGGCTTCTGAGGATTATGGTGACTGTGGTGGTGGGGTGTTTGTTCTCTGGTGATGTTTCTTGCTCTGGTGACGGTGTGGTGTGTTTGTTGGCGTGGTGTCGGTAATGAGATGGCTGAGCGCTGTCCTGAGGTTTACCCTTCAACCTTACTTGCGAATTCAATCCTACAATGTCGCGCCTGCTCTTTTGGGTGGGTCAGTCATGCGTCACACAAATTTTTGGCAAAGGTGGCCTTTTATCTGGCTGATAAAAGACTCTGGAATGTAGCCGAGATGCAAATAACCGATGCAATTTTCTACACCGTAGCTATGTTGTACTGGAACTGTCTGGGCTGACAGTAGGACAGTCCGGATAGTTTTTGAGACATTTTATGAGTGGACAAGGTGGACTTTTGGAATTGATGCTGTGAGCTTGGTGTGATTGTTTGGAGCTCCCTGGCACCCCGCCTCTGTCAGGGGTCGTGGCGTTATTTTACAGAAGGCCGCTGCTGTCCACCCCAATCCGTCTTCCCTATAATATCAAATCCCTTTATGTAGGACGTGCTGAGCGCGGAGCCCTGGGTGTGCTTGGCTCGTGAAGTGCCCGATGGTGTGCCAACCGAGACTGTGTGGTAGTATTTTCGACTGTTGAGAGTGATGAGATGATGACTTTGATACTGGCCCCTCCCCGCGCTCCCCCACACCGAATCAATGCGCTTGTTGCAGCTCTTGATACCGCAGTTTTAATAAAGGCTGTTTATTTAAGGGAATGTTTGCATCCTATTGTCAACAAAATCCACACCATATACTTTATAGTACCTACGATCTCGGTATTTCGATCTCCATGGAGTCCCAGCTGGAATAATGATGGCAATGATCAGGCAATGATCTTCCCCGAGCCGGCGATGACCAAGCTAAGTGAGCGGCATGAGTTAGTTTTGTGGTGCTGCATCCACATACGAGGCTAGTCCTTCCAACCCGTTTCAGTTTGTGATGACCTCATTCGTTATGTGATGGCTCGACACCGCCATCACAGCTCTTTCTGCACTTATGTAAACAACGTTTTCATACTACGATTTGTAGGTGTTTTGTATTTCCAAGTGTTCTCAGAAGTGACCCCAGATGTTTGTGTTTTGCATGTTGCATGGTGTTTATTGCTTATTTATGCTTTCAGTTTCTCCTTTTTGCTTTGCATGCCTCACATTGTACTCATTTGCTTGTCCGCTTTTGTTGATTTAGTGGCATCAGTTAATTGTTTTGTTTTGCTATCTAAAAGCAGTGCGAAATTTCGCAATGTAGCTTTACCTACTTGTTGCTCGATATCCTAGCCGGTGATCAGATATGTTCAGCAATCATGTGTCCCACACTTTTCAGAGTGGCGGTTAGCATATTTGTATTATTGAAGTATCGTCACATCTAGCTAGTTCATCTTCACAGTAACATAAGTACGGTCACACTCAGTTATATTCTCATGGTTCCATGTGTTGTTCTTAGCGCTCACACAGTCGCACAATGAGCTCCGCACCCACCACCCGCCCCAGCCGGCACCCTACTAACCTCTGTGGGACCGACAGGCGTGGGCCGGCCGTTCGGCGATCTCGGCGCGCGACCCAAGGTCAAGGCCGCCGCCAAACGGATGAAGCAGATCAAACCGGAGCCCGTCGGTGAGTGATAGACCGTGCCCGCAGCGGGCGGTGATGAGAGGGTGATGTTGTTGGTAGTGTTGTGGGCCCTAAAAGTATGTCGGCCAGTGACTTACCAGTGATTTTGTGTGGTACGGGGACGGGAGGGAAGTGATGGTGGACGAAAATGGGACAATATTGGTAGGATAGCGCGAAGTCAGCTCAGTGCAATGATGCTGTGTCCCCTGATATGCCCTGTGTGCCCCTTCCTCCCCTCCCCGTTACCTCCAGCTCGTCGTTCCCCGTCTGACGCCGTCTGTCGTGTTCACAGACGCTCCGGCCGCCTCCGATCCGGTGTTCGTGCCCTCCTCTGCCGGCCGGGGGGCGGCGGCCGCCGGCGGGGCGGCCATCGTCTCGCCGTCGGGGATGTCGGGCGGCGGCATCGTGCAGCAGACGCAGTACATCCGTCCGGGCGGCGCGGCCGGCGCCGAGCCCATCAAGGCCGAGTACCTGTACCCGGTGCCGGGCGGGCCGCAGTACCAGGGCTACCGGTCGCCGCAGCACCCGGCCGCCACGCCGCCGCCGCCGCCGGGCGCCGTCTCGCCGGGTCCGCCGCCGCCGCCGCCGCCGGCCGGGCAGCACCAGCTGTTTGACATGGACGCGCAGCGACCGGTCACCTCGGCGGCCAACATCGAGCTGGACCTGAGCCAGCTGAACTCTGCCGACCTGAACCTTCTCAGCTTCCCCTCCGACCTGGACGCCAACCAGCAGGCCATCGAGGGCCACCTCTCCAGTAACCTGTCGCAGAGTCTCAGTTTCCTGGAGGAGGGCGACGCGCCGCCGCCGCCGCCGCCGCCGCCGGCCGCCGTGGCCGTGGCGCCGCGGCCCGAGCTGGCCGGTCAGGACGAGCCGCAGGACGCCCAGATGGACAGCTTCACCCGCAACACCATCAGCGAGCTCGAGTTCCTCAACCAGCTGAGCAAGCGGTGAGCGGCGCCGCCGGCCGGGCGGGAGTACAGTGATCTCCGGAGACGGGTGAAAGGCTTGTGAGCTGGGCGGTGGGCGCCGCCAGAGGTGGGCGGACGGACTGCGGGCGGCGGGACGGCCGGCCGCTGGGAGTATCCGGCCGCGCAGTACTGCTGTGTGGACCCGCGGACAGAGACCGGCCGACGCCGGGCCGTGCCGGTCAGAGAGGTTGTGTGACATCACTCTCATCTCATACGAGATCCACGGCTACCGGCTTTGTGGAACACCTAGTGTTCAGATCGCACCCATCATGTTGTTTAGTAGACGCTTCGTATGTGCTGTATCCGCCGGGAAAGAACTTTGCGCCATCCCATGTGAAATCGCAATATTGGCGTGCCGGTGGTCGGGCGGGTCGCGAAGCGCGCCCTGCAATCTATTTGATGTGATTTGTGATGTGTTGTTTATCAGTGCCGAATGACGTTACTTGGTGCATAATTGGTGGTCGTTTGTATGACGTGCAGAGCGCTGCCATTGGTGGATAGCTAGTATTTTCGTATTTGTGTTGGTGACATTGTCGAGGCAGTATTTGCGGAGCCGGCCGCTGTTTTGGCCGGTTCGTCCTGCTGCGTTTTTGCAATAAAATAGTGTATGCAATCATACCCAGTGGCCACTTTTATGGAACTCGAGGCAGTGCTGCACGAGGCGAAGAGCGGGTAGAATTAAATCGTTCCCGGGCTCTGCTACTGGCGGAAGTCTCACGCTACTCGCTAAACAATGCTCAGTAACCATATGGCATGACCGTGCGAAGCCCTTGGGGGTCGAGCACGTGAATGATGCGACGGGTGAACCGGTTACTGCCCAGTCACTGACTTCATAACCACATCCCGATAACCCAGCGGGTGGTCGCGTGCACACTTCACCCCCGATCAGCCATCGGTGTCATTTTTAACTGGTCACGGATAAGCTCACGAAACACGACATGCGAAATGGTTTTTACGATCTCAATTTGATCCGGTGGGAAGTGATCGCTTGTGACTAGACTTTCCCTGCCTTCACGCACCTTCTTTTCTAAGGCCATCTGGTAGCACAGGCCAGAAAACATGGTGCCTTCTCGGTCTTGTTGAGCAGAAGCTTTTGTTTATGAAAAATTCAGTCAGTTATCAGTATCATGAATATTGAATGCTGCGCCAGAAATGAGGAGCGAAGGGGCTGTGCCTTGGGTCGAGATTGTCATTGGGATAATGGTAATTCACAGAAATTGAAGAGAAAAATACTGGCTAGAAATCGGTTAAAGTAAATTTTTGAATTACTGCATGCATATGCCTATGAGAAGCTGATTCTTATGTATTATAAGGTTGATCTGCTCACATCATTCATTTAGCGGCCTCAACCTAGCATCGGTAAAAACTGGGGCACCATTTGAAAAGAAAACATCTATGATACTTTTTCTTGAAATATGATGTTTATACCAAGTTTATACAATACTTTAATACATATTTGTTCCATGATGGATAATTCTTGTTGAAAATTATCAAACAACTAATAAGTATCAAATTTGTTTGCAAAAATAACAAAACAACAAAAATATAAAACGAGGAAGCTATAAATGACGTCATGTTATTTGATGTAAACATCAGTGACCTTGAACTTTGGCTCCAAATTTAAAAAAGGCTGTCTGACGCCAGGTCTGACGCTACACGTGGTTTTGTGGCGCGATTGCTGCGCGTTCTTTTGTGTGCTAGAGAGCAAGCTAGATAGAGTGTCTGTCGTAATAATTTTAGTTACACATGGATGCCTTTTTATGTAAATCCTATTACTTGTACTCTAGGTAGCTAAGCATTTAAATGTCACATCAACTCCCGCTCTTGTAAGAATGACATCAAGTGGCGCGCTGTCTATGGAGGTGCTCCCCACCGAGGTGCTGGAGCGCATCTTTGCTGAAGTTGAATTAGAAAACGTTCCTGCACTCTCAAGAGCTTGCAAACGATTTGAGGCTATCTTTGGATCGTGTGATATAATATGGCGAAGACTCTTTCAACTGAGGTAAGGAATGGAGGATGTCCAAAGCTAAGTAAACAATTCAAATTGCTCTTAAAGTCTTAACATAACTGAAAAGAATATTATCAATTTTCAAAGAGCTGTGGCCTGTTTGATATGGTGCTTATGGTTTTCTGTGCATTTGTCCTCAAGCACATCGCATTTGTCCATCCTGCTCACCGGTGGCGGACCTGTTGCAGGTTTGTGCGCATGTGTCAGTCGTCAGAAAAGGAGGAACTGGAGTTGCTTTTGGCATCCCAGGGCCACAGCTGGTACGGGCTCGCCCAGCACCGACTGCAGATTGGCAGAATGCTGCGCGAGCGTCTCGACTACCTGGCCGACCGGTACAACGGACTGGGTGAGGCGCTGCCAGACCCCGTGATGGAGGACTTCCGAGCGATGGTCCGCCACCACGGCTCACTGATCATGAGGGACGCGTTGCTGGATGAGGTCGTCCCCAGGCAGCAGCGAAGGTGAGAAAGGAGAAATTAAGTACCTAGGTCTCATGCAATACCTGTTGTACCAGACTAGGACAGGGCAGGGTAATAAAGCCGATCAAGAGATCAAAGCTATCAGCTCTCAAATAATGAATTTGCTTTGTATTTGTTATGCTTGATTGTGTCATTTCATGAGTCATCTTAATTTCTGTAATTAGGGTAGATATCAATAAATCCATTCCAACCACTGGCAGTGGCCCAGAAACAAGTGGCACCTACCCCCGTCCGATGTCTGACCGGGTGCTCTTTCTGTCGGCCAGGGGCGCGCTGGCCCGCCGGTACTACGCCACCATGGTTTACCGCGAGATAGAGCGCGACCTGGTGCTGCTGCCGATGATGCGCTCGTTCACGCGTCTGCCGGAGCAGTCGCGCACAGTGACGGCCACCTTCCACCTGCTGAGCTACTGGCTGCGGCCCGAGCTCGACCCGGGACCCACGCCCGACATCGAGGGGTGAGCAGACGCCCGCCGACGGACTGGCTGGGCTTCACGAGTCTGTAGGGTATTGGCGATATTTGAGGCTACTCGGGGATAATTATTACAAATTACATAGTGAGCATGTCATTTTGAAGTAGACGGGCTCACAAAGATTCCCACCGTTACTGTAATCACCGGGAATGACCTGCGGGAACACTGCGGTAGAGGGCCACCTCTGACGACCTTTGATCTTCGGACTTATGATTCTCTGACCTCTGGGTGACCCCTGACCTCACTCGCTGTAGGTGCCGCGGCAGGTGACCGTTAACCTCCCTCCCCCCCCCCCCAGGTGTCACCGCCAGGTGGCGCGGCGGGTGACCTCTGACCTCCCTCCTCCAGGTGTCACCGCCAGGTGGCGCGGCTGGTGACCTCTGACCTCGCTCCCCCAGGTGTCACCGCCAGGTGGCGCGGCGGGTGCTGCGGCTGGTGACCTCTGACCTCCCTCCCCCAGGTGTCACCGCCAGGTGGCGCGGCGGGTGCTGCGGCTGGTGCGTCAGCGCCACCCGCGCCACCCGCTGTCCGGCTGGGCCGACTGTAAGCTGACGCCGGACGGTCCCGGCGGCTGGACGCTGACCGAGGGCCGCCAGCTGCTCGACTGCATCAACCTGATCGTCTTCGGGCAGATGGAGCTGACGCTGCTGAAGGGCCGGCTCGGCGGCGAGCTGAGCCGCATCTGCGACCGGGTGAGTCGGCAGCTGAGCTGAGCTGAGTCGGGGACTGGGAGCTGAGCTGAGTGCGCCAGGGGGCTGGGGAGCTGAGCTGTAGACTGTAGAGCCGATCGCTGATCCAGTGGCCTTCCGTCCCTCATTCTTAGTAGTAGAGCGATGGAAAAACAGATAGCCACGTAGTCACTAGTGTGCTTACACTGTAATGTAACTGTAGTTACAGTTATAGTAACTCTGCCATAGTTTCATTCGATAAGGTGGCTGCACATCACCTCACGCTTTGCGTAGCTAATGTGCCTCGGCGGTGCAGCTGCCTCGAACACTACCGAATAGTGCCGTTGTTCGTTCTGACCCGTGTAGCCGGCTGTCGTATTGTAGAGGAGTCGGTGTTGGAGCCCCGCTACCACGCCGTCCCGCCGCCTATACTTACCCCGCCCGGTCCGCCGGTCCGATACAGAACTGCAGCGTCTATGAGGAGGACGATTTTGGCGAGCTCTCCGGCCAAAGGCTCCAGCGCGCCGGGCCAACGCGGCAGAGACCGCCCGAAGGCGAAAAGGTCAGTCACTGGGATATTCCGCAGTGCGAGCGCTTGACGGTAAGACTTGAGCCTTGGACGGCCTAGTAGTTGGCTTTGTGGTGTAGTTTGTACCTTAGTTAGCCACAGGACGTGTCCACCATCCGCCGCCTGCACTAACCTCCTCTCCCGGTCTGCCGGTCCTCCGCAGAAACTCAGTGCCTACAAGAAGTACATGAATAAGCTCCAGAACTCGCACTACAGGCACACCGAGCCGCGACTGATGCCCCCCGAACGGAGAAAGGTCAGTCTAGGGGACACTGAGCCGTGAACACGATCTGAACCGCTGGCTGGTCACAGGGAAGTACGGTCCGACGGAGCGGAGCTCTGATGCCGATGGCGATACCGGTCGGCACCCGACTTCAGACTTGCGTCCGTCCTAGTGTGTTCGTTCGGTCGTGGTAGTTTGGGATTGGTTTCAGTGGTGTCGCAAATTAGATTAGTTGGTATTAGAGATAGTCGCTTAGTTAGATTAGTTACTTAGCGATAGCTGCTATTCATATGATTTTGACGTTTGTTATGTGTAATGCCTTTGAAATGTGGATAATCACTAATGTCGGTTCCTCTAGCCCTGGTTGTGCCTGTGTTGACTGCCGACCCGCGGCTCTCAGATTCGTTCCCTGTGTACCGCACTGCGCCACCCAGCAGTCCCACACCCCCACTGCGCCGCCCCGCTGTGTCCTCACGGCCGTCCGCGCCGCAGGTGTTCTCGGCGTACTCGTCGTACCTGGCCGGCGGCGGCCACTTCCTGGGTGTGGTGTCGGCCGTGTACGCGTCCGTGGCCGGTCTGCTGGGCCTCGAGCTGCACTTCATCCTCTGTCCCGACACGTGGCTCCTCTGCTGGCCCATCGGCACGTGAGTCGACGGGAGGGGAGGGGGGGCTGCTGTCCTGGGAGGGGTCGGGACTCGGGAGGGATGCCTGCTCTGCTGGCTGCCGGAGCAGATCGGGACGTTTGCGAGGGTCGGTGCCTGATGGTCTGTTCCAAACGAACGAGAAGTTTTGTCAGCGATGTTGCGTTGAATGCTGAACTAATTACAGGGTAACCTCAAATAACACGCCTGCTTATATATAGCATATTAAGTAATGATTTTATTTTACTGAGATGATTCTTTCTGCTTGCTTCTGAGCTGCTGTTTCTTGTTTTTATGTTGTAGGTAAAATCGGTTATGTATTTGGATCGGGCGCAGCGAGTGTGACACTGGCTGCGCGCTGACCTCCGAGGCTCCGACTGACACCAGTCCCCGTGCGTCACCCGCTGTCTGACACCGGCCCCCGTGCGTCACCCACTGTCTGACACCGGTCCCCGTGCGTCACCCGCTGTCTGACACCGGCCCCCGTGCGTCACCCACTGTCTGACACCGGTCCCCGTGCGTCACCCGCTGTCTGACACCGGCCCCCGTGCGTCACCACTGTCTGACACCGGTCCCCGTGCGTCACCCGCTGTCTGACACCGGCCCCCGTGCGTCACCCACTGTCTGACACCGGTCCCCGTGCGTCACCCGCTGTCTGACACCGGCCCCCGTGCGTCACCACTGTCTGACACCGGTCCCCGTGCGTCACCCGCTGTCTGACACCGGCCCCCGTGCGTCACCCACTGTCTGACACCGGTCCCCGTGCGTCACCCGCTGTCTGACACCGGTCCCCCGTATTACGGCAGCGAGGACCGCCACATCTACGTGGACATGAACCAGAGCGGCGCGCAGCTGACGCGCAGGGAGGCGTGCCTGCAACTGATGTTCCAGTCGCCCGACCACGCGCCAGAGGCCCTGCTGGAGCCCGTGCCCAAACACAAGGTGGGCTCAGTGGTCTGGACCAGATCCCTGGGAGGGTGCTCATTGGGTGGTCATGATCTAGACATGTCGCAGCGTGCATTGACAGTCGTATGTATGACGGCAAGGGAGTCTTCTACGGTCTCTAATACTGTACGCGGAATGATGAATGCTGCCATTTTCATGTGCAATGTGTGTGATATCAGTTTGTCCCTCTAACGGTGGCGCCGATTTGCAGCTGCTGTGGCGGCTGGTGTCAGTAGGGTCTCACATCCGCTCCCCTCTGTTCACAGCTGCTGTGGCGGCTGGTGTCAGTAGGGTCTGACGTCCGCTCCCCTCTGTTCACAGCTGCTGTGGCGGCTGGTGTCAGTAGGGTCTGACGTCCGCTCCCCTCTGTTCACAGCTGCTGTGGCGGCTGGTGTCAGTAGGGTCTGACGTCCGCTCCCCTCTGTTCACAGCTGCTGTGGCGGCTGGTGTCGGGCATGTTCTGTCCCAAGGATCACGCGCTGGCGGTCGCCGACCAGGTGTCCATGCGACTGCTGCACTACTGGCTCTTCGACAACTGCGAGATCCACGAGATCTCCATGTGCTCCATGGTGATGGTGCTGGAGAGGAGCCGGCCCATGTACCTGCACAGACTCTCCCAGGTCAGTCAGGGTTTCAGAAGCCAGACTCCGCGTCGGCCCATGTGCCTACACAGACTCTCCCAGGTCAGTCAGGGTTTCAGAAGCCAGACTCCGAGCCGGCCCATGTACCTGCACAGACTCCCCCAGGTCAGTCGGAGTTCAGTAACACAGACTCTCCCAGGTCAGTCGGGGTTCAGTAGTGCAGACTCCGACCCGTCCCATGCACTTGCACAGACACAACGCATGTAATGAATATTGTGTATTCAGTGTTGTGTAATGGATATGCAAACAAAAAAAAAAAAAATGCATGCATTATTTTCACTTGAACCCAATCTCAAAAGAAAACAGTTCAGCTGACTGTGTTTCTGTAGCTACGTGTCTGCTGTATGTTACGCTCGTCTAGAGGTGTCTCAAGTCTCAGCTCTTTGTGTGTGTCTGTCTGCTGTGTGACAGACGCGTCTAGAGGTGTCTCACCTTCTGTGTGTGTCTGCTGTATGACGGACGCGTCTGGGGGTGTCTCATCTCCTGTGTCTGTGTGCGCGGGTGCTACTGGGTGTATGTCTGTCTGCTGTGCGACAGGCCCGTCTGGAGGCGTCTCACCTGGTGGAGAATCCAGTCGCCGAGCGCACGGCGCTGCCCGCCTACCTGGACCGGCTGCGAGCCGACCACCTGCGACTCGTGAAGTCGGTCAACCTGCAGCGCTCCAGAGACGAGCAGATGGTCAGTGGATGGTTTGCCCGGGGGCCGGGGAGCCAGGTACAGTCCACAGCAGAAGTAATGTGGGGTTTCAGTCATGGGTATGTTCTGCTTCTGAACCTTAGGAACGATTAGTCAGACTACAATGAAACTTTGAATGTAGCTTATATGTATCGTCACCCTTGCAGCTGCAACTTTAGCTATTGACATCTTCTTTTCGATCACTCCGCATTAAACAATCGCCAGTCAAAGCCAACCGTTGAGATTGGTAAAACCCTACATTACTTTAGCGGTGGGCTGTACAGGTCAGGGGTCGGGACAGCTCCCTCCACGGCTGGTCAGTGGCGGTCCGACCGGGCCGGGGAGCCGGGTACAGGTCAGGGGTCGGGACAGCTCCCTCCACGGCTGGTCAGTGGCGGTCCGACCGGGCCGGGGAGCCGGGTACAGGTCAGGGGTCGGGACAGCTCCCTCCACGGCTGGTCAGTGGCGGTCCGACCGGGCCGGGGAGCCGGGTACAGGTCAGGGGTCGGGACAGCTCCCTCCACGGCTGGTCAGTGGCGGTCCGACCGGGCCGGGGAGCCGGGTACAGGTCAGGGGTCGGGACAGCTCCCTCCACGGCTGGTCAGTGGCGGTCCGACCGGGCCGGGGAGCCGGGTACAGGTCAGGGGTCGGGACAGCTCCCTCCACGGCTGGTCAGTGGCGGTCCGACCGGGCCGGGGAGGGGGGGGGGGTGTGAGTACAGGCCAGGGGTCGGGACAAATCCCTCCACAGTCCACAACTGCCCTATAAGGAAACTCTTCAGTACCTTTTCTGGGACAACTCTGGTGTATCTATAGGTCCGGGAAGCCCTCACACACCGTGTTGGCGCGGGCCAAACGGCTGCGATGCTGATTACTCCCACCACCACTCTGTTCTATGGGCATATTTGATAGCTGGTGCATCTCTAGCTGTTTATTGATCGTTTTGTTTTGCTGGGTTAGGCCCTTTCGGTCTGACAAGACCATTTCAGAGCCGGAAGGATGATAGGAATTAGGGGGAGACATTGGTCTGGGCAGACACCCTAGAGAGTCGCCGGGACTGAGCCCGTCCGAATGGACAGGCCGACCAGCCCCCCAAGCACTCTCTGCACCCGGCTACGGGGTGCGCTCCCTCGGGAGCAGCGGTGTCACTCCAAGGTAGCAGCCCGCATGAGATAAAGGTGCCTATCCAACCCGGAATGGGGGTTGCGGCGTGGAGGAGAAGGATTTCAGTATCCTGAGGATAGAAGCACGGAACGGTGATTTATTGATCGTTATATTGCTGCTCGCGCCCTGCCGCTGTTTGAGTGGGTATATGCCGTAAGGTGTTGGCTCTCACTAACCGTGGGTGTCCTCCGGCCCGCAGATGGAGGCGAAGCAGTGGCCGCCGCCCGAGGGCTTCTGCCGGTTCCAGGTGGGCGACATGGTGCAGCTGGGAGACCACCCGCACCGGCGCGCCGTCGTCTACAGCGTGGTGCTCCGACTGCACCTCGTCGCCGGAAACGTGAGCTACTGGTCGGGTCGGGGGAGGTGGGCCATATTATGGCTGCTTGTTAGGTCGGCGGAGGTGAGCCATATCGTGGCCGCTGGTTACTGCTAGCGACACGAACCAGCTCAGTCTGATACTTACCGCAGAATGTTGCCATGGGATACTGTGGGAGGGTAGATAGTAGAAAATATATTTGCTAATTATTTGAGGGCATGCTACCAAGCCGCGCTACCCTACTGACGCGCCGCCCCGCTCCCCAACCGTACTGGCTGTCCGACAGTACCTTTCTATCCGTGCTGACGCCCCCTGCCCCACTCCGCCCCGCAGCCGTGTCAGCTGTGCGTGGTCGGCCGGCTGAACCCGCCGCCGCACCATCTCCGGGTGGGCCGCTACCGACTGCTGCTGGACGGAAACGAAAAGATGGACGTCGAGGAGGGTGAGTAGGGACTGAAGGAGCCCCCACCCCCACCCACCCCCTCTAGTAACGGGTCAGGACGGCGGGGATCGTCCTCTACCGTGGTGACCCCAGAGTCCTGACAGTGTTAGACTCGGTAACCAAATAAGCCTCAGTTTGTATGTGAGATATCGTTCGGTGGAGACCCTGAACTTGAACAAGTGTTTCAGTTGTTTCGGACGGTTGGTAGGTATCCGCTGTTCCCCCGCTGTCCGCCAGCCCGGCCCCGTCTAACACTCTCATGTGGCCCTCAGACTCCATCTGCGCCAGTCCGTGGGCGGCTCCCATTGAGAACTGCGAGCTCGGGCGCTACTTCACGGGGTTCGATGGGCGCCGGTACGTGCCGCTGCCGTCGCTGGCTCGGCGCGCCCGGGAGCGGCCGGACGCCGGCCCGGTGGAGGAGCACCGGCCCTGGCCCCGGCCGCTGCGGCCGCCGCCCGTCTCCTGGCGGGTCGCCTGGCCGCGCCGGCTGCCCTACGACGTCGAGTTCCAGCCGGGCGATGAGGACGCCGTGGCGGCGCCGCAGGAGATAGAGCTCGGCGGACTGGTGCTGCACTAGCCGGGCGGCCTGCGCTCCACACTAGTGAGGCCCGGTGCTCCACTGGCATGTGCTCCACTAGAGATGCTGATGCGGTCTGGTACTCCACCAAGCGTGTCGAGCCCGACCACATGCTTTTGAAGAGGAGCGCAAATATGGTCGTACCCGAGTGCCTTATGATCCACTGAAGTGCCCAGATCCGGCTGTTGTTGAAGAGAGAAGAGTGGTGCGGATGCGATCGTACCGCGCTGCCCTACACCTCGGCGGCTGGCTGGGATGCAGCTGTACCGGGTGGAAGGAGAGGCGGATTGGGACGTTCAGCTCCTGGCGGCGTCTGAGTGTGGGGTGGTAATTTCAGCTCCTCCTTCTGGTGGTGGTCTCTATCCTTCGGCGGCGGGCTTTTCTCTGTGTGTGCTAGTCTCTAGGAGTGGGACGGCCGAGGACCCCTACCTCCGGGCTCCGACTGACCTCAACTCAAGCAGGGTAAGATCAAAGGGCGCCCGTGTGCAGGTTTAGGTGTGGTGTTTCCCGCGGCCGGCGTCTTTCAGCGAGTTTTTGTGTGGGCGATCACGCTGTCAGCCGCTGCAACATTCTTTCAATCAGTTACCGGTAGGTATCCATACGGGTGGAGTAGTTCATATAATCAGGGTTTGATATTTTGTTTACCATCTCAGGGTTGCGTCTCGTTTAGCTCAGCGGCAGTGCGATGGAGTAGGTAGAAACGAATGGTCATGGAGCTTTTCAGGGAGTACAAAGGTGGTTATCGTGTCGAGCCTTAGGTCCCCTGCCTGCAGGGAACTACCGAGGTGTAACCGTGCGTATCTGCTCAGGACCAACCATGGATGGGCCAATGTACTGCAGCTTTGTATTGGTTATACTGCTCTTGCATTATTAAGTGGACTTTCTTATTTTAGCGCGTATTTGTCTCATTTTTATGTCGCATTTACAGCCGTGTGTCTCGATCTCGATGGGTTCCAGAATTGTAGGAGATTAGAATCAGTGCCATTCCGCCATCCCGGCCTGTGCCGTGGTTCCTGGATTGTCTTTCTTGGGTGACTGTTTATCACCAAATTTACAATCTGATCTCGTTACGATCTCGGGCATCGCCATTTACATGTAGTAGCAAACATATCTTAGCTCAGGTATAGCTCAAGTTTTAGCCCGCCTTGTAACTCAGGTTTTAGCTCTCTAGTAATGTTGGAACGTACAGCTTTGAACCCCGTATCCGCCGTTTTGTAGCTGCGTGGATGATGCCTGAAATATGTGGCGTGCCTGTAGCTGTGTACCAGATGTGAGCCGCCCGGCGTACCGGCGAAGTGTTACCGTCTTTCACAGGGTTTTACGGCTCCGCCGAGGTCTTTCACTACTCGGCGTGGGTCACCAGCCGAGGTCTTTCAGGGCGGAGGCCGTCCGCCGCCGCCGGTGCCGTCCGTGTACTGTGTGACGCTGTGGTGCTCCAATACATGGTCTTCCATAGCTCTGTGTTTGCCTGGTGGGCCGCGCGGATAGCTTTTATGGTGTTTCCTCGCCTGCCTCATTGGAGAATAGGACATATCTCTGGAAATGTCAGACACGGGTCTCCGGACATCTTTTTAGAATTCACAGTGTTGTCAAAAGAAACACCATAATTAGCTAAACGTGTATTTCAGATCAGTCAGCTGTTACAGCGGTGAGTTATATAACCAAGTTTGACATTGAATATTCTCGATGAGGCCGCAGTCAGTTGATATAAATATGAACATATTACGCTGAAATGAATAGCCCCAGTTGGAGGCGGACGTACCTAATGAAACGCACTCGTACCACTAAGCGAGCCCCACTCATACAACCTCATTCATACAAAGCTTGGGTAAAACTCTGCAGTTTCGGAGGGCGGGTCAGGTGCAGGTTGATGGGCGGAACTCTAAGGAGGATGAGTGATTAAACCCAGCTGTCGGACTGAAAACTGGTGGATCTCGCTTTTAAAATAATGCACTTTCTATTTACAAGATTGCGGTAGCTCCGTATTCCCCACCGTTATCCTTACATGAGAGCACCTCTAGCACGTGGACACCCCCGCGTCGGTCGCGACTGTGAGGACCCCGCTCTGTCCCTGGTTGCCCCGTCCATCCCGTGCGGCGTCCTCGGCCGGCCGGGACGGGTCGGTCGGCGTGTCTCCGCTCTCCGGTCCGCCAGCAGCCGATTCCTGCCGGGACGGAGCCGCGTCCTGCTCCTGGGGACCGGCAGCTCCTCCCGTCAGCGGAGCCGCCTCCTCCTGCTCCTGGGGACCGGCGGCTCCTCCCGTCAGCGGAGCCGCGTCCTGCTGCTCCTGGGGACCGGCGGCTCCTCCCGTCAGCGGAGCCGCGTCCTGCTGCTCCTGGGGACCGGCGGCTCCTCCAGTCAGCGGAGCCGCGTCCTCCTGCTGCTGGGGACCGGCGGCTCCTCCCGTCTCGGCAGGGTCCTCCCCGGGGGAGCCCCTCCCACTGTCGGCGCCCGCCTCGGTCGCCGGGCAGGGGTCGGCCTCGGCGGTGGCGTCACTGGCAGCGTCACTGTCCGGTGGTGAGGCAATGACGTCACTGCCTGACGCGGTGGTGACGACACTGGCCGGTGCAGTCGTGACGTCACTGTTTGGTGTGGCGCTGACGTCACTGTCTGGCACAGTCGTGACGTCACCGGCTGGCGCGGTGGTGACGTCACTGGCCGGCGGTGAGGCAGTAATGTCACTGTCCGGTGCGGTGGCGACGATCTCCGTAGAAGAGGACTCGGTGGTCTCGGCTGGCGACTGCAGCTCTGGTTCTGGTTCACTTGTGACGCCAATACTCGAGTCAGGTCCGCTTGTGACGTCAGAGCTCAGCTGGGCTTTACCTGTGACATCAGAAGTCGTGTCGGCTCCATATATGACGTCAGAGCTCTTGTCGGGAGCCTCTTCAGAAACTTCACAGACCGTGATCTCCGGGGCAGCGTCGTCCTCCGCCCGCTGGTCCTGGCTCACCTCGGCAGGTTTCTCCGTGGCCTCACTCCTGGGGCCCTCAGATTCGCCGGTACCGCTTGTGACGTCATCGGCCGTCCCCTGCGTGACGTCACACATGACCACCTGTATCTGGGGGACCGGTGCGGGCGCCGTCTCAGTAGCGTGTTCCTGTCCCGTGCCGTGTCCCTCGCCCCCCGGTCCGGCGGCGTCCGCGGTCAGCTCCGTCTCGGCGGTGGTGCCGTCGGCTCTGGTGCGCCGGTGGTGCCGGTGGTGGTGGTGGTGCCGGTGCTTTCCCCCGTGGCCCGGCGCGCCGCCCTGGCGCAGGATGCCGCGCAGCTGGTGTCCGGAGCCGGGGTCGTTCAGCCGCGAGAGGGCGGCGCTGTAGCCGCGGATGCTGTCCCTCACGGCCTCCCGGTGCAGTTCCAGGTCCGCGAACAGCTCCAGGAGCGCCTCGCGGTGGTCGAACAGCACCGGCTCCGGCTTCCCGGCCGGACCCGTGACGTCATTGGCGCTGGATATGTCCCGGTACACGCCCGCCTGCGAGGTGTCGCTGCTGGACCCCTCTGGAAACACAGCACACGTCAGTGACGTCATCGAATGTAGCTGAGTCGGTTGTGATTATTGATAGGCATCGCGGATTTAAACGGCTGTGCGTCGTAATTAGCGTAAGCAAAATCGTTACCCTGACGTTGGCACTGTGATTTGATGCAGTTCTACTGCGAGACATCATGAAATTAAAGCAGCCACGCAACCCAGTAGTCCAGGCGTTGGCCACTCAGTTCTGGCAGTCAATCGACTCACCCTCCTCGCAGTTCCACTCGCGGTCGAAGCGGCACAGCCGGCGCCGCAGCGCGCGCAGCATCCGGCGGGCCTTCTCGCAGAGTCTGTGGCGCGCGTCCGAGCCGCAGTTGGTCTCCTTGTGGAAGAACACCACCATGCCGAGCAGCAGGAACAGGAACAGGAAGATGCCGAGCACCTCAGAGATCAGAACACCTGCAGGTACAGGGCAGAGTGCGTTACAGTGGAGGTCAGAAACAGGGGGGGGGGGGGTAATTAGCGATTGTCATCTAATATCAGACGTTCCATGACCTACCACCATCTGCCGAGATCTATATCACAACGCCATGACCTACCCTCTCCCGAGGCATGTGTCACGGATCGTTGACCTACCCTGTGCCAAAGCCCACCGGCCTCCGATCTACCCTCTGCCGAAGCCCGTGTCGCGGGTCTATGACCTGCTCCCTGCCGAGGTCCACTGATCAGTGACCTACCCTCTGCCGAGGCCTGTGTCATGGGTCGTTGACCTACCTTCCGCCGAGGCCTGCATGACGGGCGCCTCGATGAGGTTGCCCTCCCTGACCAGCTCCAGACGCGCCTTGGCCGTCAGACGCTCCAGCAGCTTCACCGTCCGGCGCTTCTCCTCGTACGTGAGGGAGTCATCTGAAACGGGTAGTGACGTCATCCGGAGCAGGGAGGGCATGGGTCGCCTGGGAGGGTGTCCTAGGTGGCGCTGCTGGCGGCGTAAGCTGGTGGCGGCACCTGGGCCACAGCCAGACTAGGTGAAGGCAGAAAAGGCTAAGGCACTAATAGCCACAAGTGGCGACCCTGACGCCAGCGATATCCGAGCTTTGCTTAATTTCAGCAATTAGTTTAGTAGTGCTAGTTATAAACACGCCATGCAAGCAATATTGCGCGTTTCTATCGCTCGTGGCCTGGCGGCCGAAAGGTCCTGCAACAAACCGATTCATGGCAATGACAACACAGAAAATCAAACACTTGCAATGACGTCCGCTTCCCAACTCTCGCCCAGGTACGAACACGAACAAAGAGAAAAAAGAATATGCAGTTCTGCTTTTCGGAATCATGCCCCGGTGTCCGGTTCAGGTGCACTCGGGGTCCCGGGTCTGTAAGAGACTGCACAGCCCAAGCCGAGTCCTTCCCAGTCTCACTTACCGCCGTCCATAGGCAGCAGGTCGTCCTCAAAGTGAGGAGCCATGACGTCCTCTCCCGTAACCGGCGCCGTGGTCGATGGTAGGCGCTACCGCTGTTACGGAAGCTCCTCCGGTCCCGGCAGCTGCTGCTGCAGAAGATCCTCCCGACTCACTCCTTCGGATGTCTCTCCAGCACAGGGTTAAATGTCCGCTCAATAGACGGTCAAAGTGTTCAAAGTGTCAAAGGTCCAGTGTCCGTCAGAATGCCTCTGGCGCTGTCGCTCTCAGCTCAGCTCACCACTCACTGCAGCGGCCCCACTCGGCGCCTGAGGCCGAACCGTCCAGCGATGGAGCCCCGGGCAGCCAACAGAACCCTCACAAATACACACCGTCCGTTCAGCGACCCGTCCCAGCCGCGGGGGTCTGACCTGACCCGGTCAGCACTCACGGCGCCACTGGACCCACTGACCCAGGTCACAGAACACAGCGACACGGGCGTCCGCTGACCCTGACACGCACAGCGCCGGCCCGCGACTGGCCGGCCGGGCGGCGCGGGTCCCTGCGTGTCCCTCCTGTCCCCCGGCGTCCCGGGCGGGTCCCGGTGGGCCCGACAGAGCCGCGGCCGCCCCGCCGGGACGCCCACCCAGGATTATCCCCGTAGGTGCGCCCCTCCGACCTGTCAGCTCCCGGGAAGCCGCTAAACCCGGCTAACCCTGGGCCGCGCCGCTCGGGACTGAGTGCCGGCAGCGCAGTGCACGGGTCGGAGTGTGAGCGTATAACCGCCGTGTGACAGGTGCAGTTCAGCAGCCAGGACAGCCGATAGCGGGCAGTGGGCTTTAAAAACGCATGAAACAGCGTCTGCATCGAAAAGATGAAAACATGATCCCTTATTTCACTGTCATACTGAGATTGTGATGCTGGTATTTATTTGAGTTCCCTACTTTCTGTTTGAGAGTTGGTGATTTGGAATGCCTCCCTGCGTAAAGATCTTTGCATGACACTGACATTCTGGAAACTACCCGGAAACTATTGGAAACTAGGTAATTTCACCCAAACTTATCTCGGCAATAGCTGCAGATTACAATCTCCGTCGGCGCCCGTTCCATTCACCCCCTAACGAGCTCCCCGCTGTTAGTGGGTGGGCCAGGAGTCATTTTAATTCCGGCGGAATTAGGAGCCCACCAAGACGGTAATCTTCGACTCGGGTTTCGGTGATACCTGACACCACAGGCCGGGGCCGCAGGCGGACCTGAGGTCCATTGGCGGCGCCGGATAGCAGATCTCTCCTAATAGCTGCTGACGTGACATCAGGGACATACGCGTCACCCCCACTGGAGATTAGCCTGCTACAATGCTGACCACCCTGCGCGGACCCACCACCACACCTGGGTATTTCAGGGGCTTACACAGCGGCCGGGCAGCTCCCATGGCCCCAATTATATCACTAAGTAGGCGTTAATTACCGAGCCCCAAAGTATGCGGCATTAAGAGTATTAACAGGTGATGCTGCTAACGGGTACCCTCATAGAGCCCCAATGCCAGTAATGGTGGGAATCCGGCTACATTCGCGGTATTTACGGAAATGAAACAAAGGCAAGAGGAGTCTGCCATACAATCTTATTCGGAGATGTAGCGTTGCATCCAATTTTATAGTTCAAAAGCCATGCAATTTGTGTGTACTTTGTTGTAATTCCAAAGCTAGGCACGGATTCGCCATACCGGTCAGCGGTGTCCGTGTCCACGGGGCGCTATCACTGGCTGAATCAGGAAGGATCGGCTCCCTATTGCGCGGGTCTACACGTCGGACCGAGAGGATCGCCCTCAGACCCGCCGCCAGTGAACCGTGAACGGGTGGCCTGATTGGCAGGCAGGGGTTCAAAGGGGCGCCGGCACCCCCCACAGCGCGGCCGCTGGGGTCAGACGTCAACAGAACTCAAAGGGCCGGGTCCACGACAAAACTGGGAAAATTAATCGTGACGGGGCAAGAGTAGGATGTAACTTCTAGTCCTGAAATTGACAACGGTCAGGAGTCAGGACGAATTAGGTTCAATGTCGACTGGCTTTGAGTAGGTACTCTGAAGGACCGTTCGCTGCCGATAACAGTACACGTAGACAAGAACCGGAGTAGCCTGCCACCTGTCCTGTCCAGGGCCGCTCGCGCCCGGCACGCCCGCGCGGGACGCCCAGGGCCGCTGGGTGCCCGGCACGCCCGCACGGACGCGGAAGTGCGTGTGCGGGGGTCGCCGTGTCGCTGAGGTGACCCGGGAGGACAGCTCGATCAAGTCGGCGTCTAATGAGCAGAGCAGGGCTATCGCCCGCCCGTCGGACCTCCTCCCACTCAGCACGGGACAGTGTGCGTGCGGGCTGCTGCCCTATCGGAGCATCTGCCGTACCAGAGACACCTGGCGGCGAGAAACACAACTAAAGGATGATGAAATGGTCCCCTGACCACGGCTCTGTAAAATGGGGCAGCATTATCCCCAAATCCCAGCCAGTTCGTACCGGTAGTGGACAGTGCAAATAAGTCCTCCCAGCCTACAAAAATACGCGCCCGAAAGCATACGTGTCGCCGAGACCCAACTTCATAAAATAATTCGCGCCGAGCAAACCAGTCAACAAATAGGCCCGGTTAATCTTCAGCCCAGAGATCGAGTATTTTTAAGAATCGATGCCTGAATTCGTACGCTACACTAGGAAAATGGTCCATACTGTTTATTTCACGCAGCTGATGCATATACAACAGAACGTAGAAAATCAATGTTATCGCTGTCTTTTGATAAGGCCCCTCTCACAAAACCTACGGCACACAAAACGGAGTGAGTTCTAGAACAGCCAGGCATCAGGAATGACAGGCGGTGCCGGCGGCAGCGGCCAGGGCGCCCGGGGCGGTCCGTGCGCGGTGACCCGCACACGGACCGGCGGCGAGACGACCCGACCCCACCGCCGGGCCCCCTCCAAACGAGGTGTCCAGGTGACAGAGAACGCCGCGTGCAAAGAGCCTTAGTGAGAAGGGCGGTTGGCGCAGAGAGCGGCGGCGCCGGCCGGCCGGAGCTGCCGTCAGTCCGACGGCCCTCCCGACCCGGCGGCCGCGGACAGCATCGTTTGCCAGTTTGTACTCTCAGAAAGCAGTCTCCTCTACCCAGTGGCCACCCTATCGTGAAACGAGTATAACAACAAAACTTCGCCGAAACACGGAAAACGGCGCCTATCGCGCCGTATTGAATTTCTGAGACTACTATAAAAACGAGCATTGTCCACCTGCCTAGCTGACTGCGAGATTCCCAGTTCTCACTCTCTGGAAGTACAAAAGTACAAACAACACTGTCGCCTCAGTTTGACTAGAAAGACACATCCATTTGGCGGCGCGGAAGGCACTGAATGCGACACTCACCGGCGGCATCCCCGGCAGCGGCGACTGGAGGGCGGCACACAACACCCGCCCGGCCCGCCGGCAGCGGAGGAGGCGCTACTTTTTCACCAGGGCGGCCAGCTCGCGCATCCGGTGGGTGCGGCACACCTTCTCTCCGTCAGCGGCCTTCACGGCCTCCAGGGCGGCCGGGCTGGCGCGAGCCAGAGACACCAGGAACCCCTCGAACGCCTTGATGACGCTCTCCTCGGCGTACCCGAACCGGACGCTGCCGAACATGCGGACAATCTCCGTCACCCAGCCGCTGTCGAGTATGAACTCGGCCAGCCAGTCCACCTCGGCCGCCAGCTGCGAGAGCACCTGCAGTCCGAGGAACCAGAGCTCCTTGAGGTCGTCCCAGACGCCGCGGTAGCGCGTGGCCACCACCACCGACTGCTGGTTCAGCGAGTCGTCCACGTTGTGCGCGTCCCAGAGGAAGCGGACGGCCGCCTGCGCGAACCGCACCAGCTCTGTCTGGTGCTGGCGGGCGGCCGCCGCGTGCCGGTGCAGCAGCAGCAGGCCCAGCACGGTCAGGTTGCTGCGCAGCAACAGGTGCGAGCCGTCCACGCCAGCCAGCTGCTGCACCAGGAAGCGCTGCAGGCTGAGGAACTCGGAGCTGGCAGTGACCCGGTCCGCCTCCATGACCACAATGTTCATCAGGCAGCCGCAGACGGTGGTCAGAGCCTGGACCGGCTCCGACGGCGGATCGTCCAGCTGGGCGGCGGGGCGGGGCTGGGAGAGGAGAGGCGCCGCCAGCTCCCACCTGAGAAATGGCACAGCAAATAGCGTCAGATGTCACGAAATCATTCATTGTAGAATAAGCATGCAAAAAGAGGAGACAAGACAAGGGTATAAAGCAGCAATTTCCGGCAAAAAAAAAACAGTCCTTCAGTCCCAGCCTATTACTCTACCAGTCCGCACAGTCCGGTCACAGACCCCCGGCGGGTCCCCTCCCCTTCTCCGTTCCGTACCGGTGATGGAAGTACTCGATGAGCGTCTGGTCGCAGTCGAGCATGAGCAGCACGTATCGGGCGCGATCGTCGGCGGTCAGGTGACAGAGCGCCGGCAGCAGCATCCGCAGCAGGTCGGGCACCTCGGCCGCCGCCGCCGCCGCCGACTGCTGCCGCCGCATCTCGAACGTCTCGGTGCACATGCGCAGCAGAAAGGGCACCAGGTGCAACACCTCGTCCGGGTACGCCGTCTCCTGGAGGGAGGGAGAGGTCAGGTAATGCTATCTTGCCAGCCCGACAGACACTGAATACAAATATACACGTCAGAAGCATGCTCCTGAGATAAACAATCTTTCGTTCGCTCGAATAAAAACAAAATGCGGAGAGTGATCCTGACCCCTGACCCACCTCGGCCAGCCAGGCGAGCGCCACGCGGATGCAGCTGTAGATGAACATGGTCTGCGTGCGGGAGAGCTCGGGCGCGTCCTCCTTCATCACAGCCGTGAGGAAGGTGATGACGGCACCGCACGCGCCGCGCATCGCCACGATCAGCTGACGAACAGAGCCGGGGGGGGGGGGGAGGGGTGAAGTGACGGGGTGTGAGGCAGCAGGAGTGCCCCGTGGGTGGATACACCGGGTTAAGGTTTCACACGATGCCGGCTAGTGCGCTAAAATCTAATGAAGAAAGAAAGGTCAACGGCAATGGCAAAGATTCGAAGCTAACACCCAGGCTGAGACCACAATAAAAGTCAAGCTGACAAAAGATGACATCGCATGCCCGAGCGTTCCTTCCCGTTTCCACCTCCAAGCACCCCTAATATCCAAAGGCCCTCCAATCTATCAATCAGGCGAATCATCACGCCGGTCCTCCCGGTGCCATCACCCACCTGCTGCCGCTGTTTGGCGTCAAACTCGATCGGCGACTCTCCGATCAGCATCTCGAACATCTTCTCCAGCACGAGGAACGAGCTGGTGAGCAGCTCACTGTGTTTCACCGCCTGCGCCAGCGTGCGGTCCTCGAGACCCATCCGGATCTGATGGAGGAGAGGGGAGATTAGACGGCGTGCGGTCCTCGAGACCCATCCGGATCTGGGAAAGGTTGCGCAGAGTTGATCTGACGGATCGCTCTGAAGGATAGGTAGTCTGTTTATAGGACGACAATTCTATGGCTTGTTCATAACATTTTGGCTAGCAGGGTTCGACCAAACATCCATTAGCAGCATCACGTAGTTACAAGCTCCCACACTGACCTCAATGCAGAAGAGGTTGGTGTAGACCATGACGAGCTGGCGCTGTCTGTCGGGCTCCAGCGCCGTGTGCCGCACGCCCAGCACCTCCACCACAGCAGCGGTCAGCAGCAGCACGGGGCCGCGCTGCTGCGCCGTCAGCCGGCTGGTCAGCATGGTCAGCAGGGCGTCCAGCAGCGGACGCCGCCACTGGTCCGGCTCAGACTCGGGCAGCGGCTCCGGCGCCGAGAGCAGCGCCACGCGCAGGTCGGCGCACAGCGTCCAGCGCTGCTCCGTCTCCTCCAGCTGCAGGTCCATCGTCAGTGAGCGCATCAGCCGCGTGAACAGCTCGGGCCGGCCGCGCCACACGGCCGCCCGCTCGGCCCGCAGCAGGCGCCGCAGCAGCCGCCAGGCGGCCTCGGCGCCGCACAGCGTGCTGCAGATGACGTCCACCAGCAGAGTGACGGGCGCGGCGGCGAGCAGCGCGGCGCGCGCGGGGCCGCCGGCGCGCGCCGCCGCCTCCAGACACTGGTAGCCGTCCGAGAGCATCACCAGCTGCTCCTCGTCGCCGCTGGCCTCGCGCAACACGTCGCAGATGAGCGGCACCGCCTCGGCCATCGCCGGAGAGCCGCTCACACTCTCGTCCTGCAAGAGGTACCAGGGGGAGTTAGTTAACCCCCGCAGCGGTGAGCCGCTCACACTCTCGTCCTGCAAGAGGTACCAGGGGGAGTTAGTTAACCCCCTCAGCGGTGCAGCGTCCCAAAATTATATTTCGGCTTGAGTGTCGGAGGGGAATATTTGTCACTAGAACGAGTGCTGAGAGTGGAAAAATGCCAGTCAGAAAGGTACAAAAAGAGTGGAAAACACGGATCAACAATGTATTTGTGAATGTTGAAGATTGTGGGAGCTACTTTATAAGATAATTGAATCGAAAATGGAGGGAGGTAAAAGGTACCCGCAGAAAAAAGCTCTTTATTGGTAAAACAGGGAGTGAAAAATTGTTCTGGAAAGCTTAAGGTGAGAGTGGAAAATTATTTCGATTTGGATGTCATTTCCCACCCAAACTGGCAAATTTTGGGACACTGCAGCGGTGAGCCGCCCACACTCTCGTCCTGCCAGAGGAAACAGGGGGAGTTAGTTAACCCCCCACAGCGGTGAGCCGCCCACACTCTCGTCCTGCCAGAGGTACCAGGGGGAGTTAGTTAACCCCCACAGGGTGAGCCGCCCACACTCTCGTCCTGCCAGAGGTACCAGGGGGAGTTAGCTAACCCCCACAGGGTGAGCCGCCCACACTCTCGTCCTGCAAGAGGTACCAGGGGGAGTTAGTTAACCCCCTCAGCGGTGAGCCGCCCACACACTTGTTCTGTCAGCGGTACCAAAGGGGAGTTCAGTAACTATTCGGCGGCGAGCCAGCGAACACCTCAGTCCGACGTGGCGACGTCATGATGAACAGAAGAATACGATAACTTATGAATGGTAAAATAAGAAACCTATGGGTGCGAAAACACCTCCGCAATTGACCTCAACGCCATGCAGCCTCACCTGTGAGAAGCAGCTGAGAATGGTGAGCGCGATCGACCTGAAGAGCTCCGGCGGACAGCCGGGTGGCGCCGGGCTGCCCAGCATCCGCAGCAGGTATTTGAAGCCGATGGCGTCAAACAGCTGTTTGCGCTCCTCCTCGCCGCAGTCAGCGGCGTTGACCAGCTGACGGGGGGGGGGAGGGGTCAGGTCAGGTCATACGGCGGGTCACAGGGCAGGGTGTATTTGTTCATGACACAAGCTCGAGCAGGGACCGGTGGCAGGTGATCAGTCACCGGTGTCAGTTCGACACACCACCCAACACAGCCACACAGACTGGGTACAACAACAGACAGACACGCCCGTCCGGCCCACACGCCGGCTGAAACACCGCGGTAAAACACAGACGACCTGCGTACAACAACAGGCAGCCTCGTACAACAACAAACAAAGTGCGTACGCCAGACAGACTGTGACGGACGAGCGCCGACGGCTCGTTTTCACGCAGGGCAGGAGCAGGGCGCAAAGAAAATAGCACTGTGTCGATCGCGGCAGGACCGAAATCGAGTACCGAAGGGTCAGCCGGCACCGCTCTACCCAAGTATGGGGTGACCGAGTGGTCACTGACGGTGTTGACCTAATCTGAACAGCAGTGGATATATGGTCAGCAGGGGTTAATGGTCAGCAGCGGTCACCGATGTCACCGACCAGTACTGACAGCTGCCCCGGTCTCTGACCACGTCACTGTGCTGACCTGGCCACCTGGCCAGTGACCAGCTGCTGGCACTCGACAAGGCACATGCGTCAAACGGGATCCTCTCGGGGAGAAGAGACAATGGTCTCCACGCCATCGGCCCAACTGACACAGGGCGAACTTTAAAATTCCAGCGTCGTGTGTTTGTAGCGAAGGTGCAGTGATTCGGTTTAGGTTTAACTGATAATGATGACGGTAGTAAATGTAGCTCGTGCGCTATGCAACGGTTAAAAAAATTAGTGGACAACTTTAACGCTTGTTACATTTGGTACCCACGACCCAGAAACGACTACAAACATGAGACTGGTTTGTTTCGTCATTTATCCACGCATTTCCCATTTGAATACGGAGAGTTGCCACCACTAATCACCACCAACTCTGCTCACTTCCTTACCTTGGTAACCATGAGCAGGGCGGCGAATTTTTCCGTGTCGCTGCCGGCCTTTTTCAGCATGTCGGCGCAGCGCTGTACGTCGGCCTTAGCACTCATGGCTGGCTGCTGCCGTACTAGAGACGACGGCCTACGGCTGTGGTACGACGATGGCACGGCCGAGGTACGGCTGAAGTACGGCGTGGTACGGTGGAGGCAGCTCAGCGCTGCCGAACACAGACGGATACACAGACAAAGGTTACACTGTGTTACAGAGCTCAAACCGCGGGGTGACACAGCGGCCAGACCCAGGTATCGACGGTAGGACCAGGGGAGGGAGAGACCGATGATAGACGGAGTGTCGGGGAGGGGGAGGGGAGGGGGAAGGTGGTCCGGCGGCGCACAGGTCACTGACCCCGACAGTGACAGAAATAGCCGCCCGCCCGGGGGCCAGAGCGTAACGAGGGCAAAAAGGAAGCAGAAAAAGTAGCAGGGCGTGTTTATTTATTTTCAGAGTTGCCGAGACGGAAAGCAAGTGGCAAAAGACAACACATTTGGACATAGTTATTTTAGCTTGCACAGGTGCAAGAAATACGATAAGGGTAACAGAGCTAAGCACAGGCAGTCTGGCGGGGAGTACTTGCCAAGAAGCTGATTCAGCAGGGGCGTTGTTCGGGGAGGTCTGTAGCGTTTTCGATTCACTTAGCACGGTAGTGTCTATTTAGCTACTATTAACCGGTATGCACAAGCCACACTTTTTGTGACACTACCTATCCGCACTTCCCGAGGCTATGCCGCCGCCACCCGAAGAGGCGCCCTCTGGCCAAAGATCACAGTGCCGCTCGCGTGAACTTCCACATCTAACGGGCTCCGCACACCTTCCCCGACTAGGGCCGCCTCTTTGGCACGGTTCCAGGGAGCAGCCGGGCACCCGGGGCGGCTCGGTGGCAGGGTCCACGCCCCGCCGACTAAACCAGCCGACCGCCGGGGAGGGGGGAGTTCGACAGCACGCAGCAGCCGCCGGCGGCGCTCAGCTCTCAGCGCGCGGCACCCCGCCGCCGGCCGCCGGCCGACCCAGAACGGAGCGGTGCCAACTGGGCGCCGGCGGCCCCGACCGGGCGGGGAGGGAGGGGCGACACCGCCCGACTGGCCACACAGTCGGGGGGGGGGGGGGGTCCGCAGCCGACCGCCGACGGGTCTCACGGGGTACCGACACCGACCGACCCGGTCACAGTCGGGGGGGGGGGGGCCGCAGCCGACCGCCGACGGGTCACGGGGTAGAGACACCGACCGACCCAGCCACTATGAGCCACACAGTCGGTGGTGAGCTCCGCGGGGACGTCACGACGATAAAGAACTGCAGCTTTCGTACCGCTAAACTGAATGACATCAGCGGCAACGAATTTGTTGTCATTCCAGAGATGGATACCAGGACAATTTTTGAGAACCTTCCCACCTATCTATCTCAGCCTGCTGGCATAGCTCAAGACGCACCGAATAGCCTTTACTATATAAGAACTGTTCACCACCAGTTATAACAGACCCCAGACAGACTGAGAACCAGCTTTCATTATCACCCAGCGGACGGAGGTCTCAGTCACCTCGGCACGGACGGGGGGAAATAACTTCACTGATCACTGATGTCCGTAAAAAAACGACATAAAAACGACGTTTGTCGTTCCGGTGAATAAAACAGGTGATGAATCTGCAGGTGCTATGCATCACCAAACCTGATACATAGCACCAGAGATAGCCATACACCGAGAATAACTTGTAGGAGCCGGGAGGTGTTGCGAACTTACCAGGAGGCTTTTGCACCTTTTGGCAATCATCATTATGGATGCGCCTCAATAAATGAAATTCATTAATTATATCTCATCAACAACAACTTAGTCGGGCTTTGAAGGGCAAGGGCTGCAGTGCTATGGTGCTGTGCTAAGGTGTTATGCAAGGAAAAAAACTCACTCATAAATGATCTCCATTATAAGAAAACGAATACGACAGACACGAAGCTTACCGCGTCTCACCCAGTTGTTAGCTGGACGCGGCACATCGTGGAAGCCGCCATGCTGTTAGACCTGCTATGGCGGAGCTGATAGAGCGCAGCTACTCGAAGCAGCACACCGCTGTAAAAAGAAATTGAGGAAAACGAAAATAAATCGGTATTTCAACATTAATATGCAGCTTTCTGAGACAATGCAAATACATGCGGCTAAAGGTTATATGAGATGAACACTAGCTCATCTCCTGTCAGACGTGTTAATACTATAGTGGTGTGAATAAATAAGTTATAATGCATGCCACACATCAGCAACACACTAGCACATAGTAGGTCTAGGATAAACTATCAATGACACGCTTGAATCATTTCAAGCAATGCTTGCATACATTTTGGATGGCACAAATGGCAGTGGTACACTAGTAAGTACCATTAGTTGTATGCAATGGCTTGCTGCAGTGCCCAGGGTTAGGTCCTGATCCACCATCACCTACTGGTTATAATATAAGAAGGCATGAAGAGCAAAGAGTGCCATTAAACCCGACCATCTTTGTCCTGTATACATTATTTTCATTTCATTAGCCAGACCATCACAATACTCTATTGCGTTTTGTCCTCCCCAAGTTTGTCATTTGAACAGTGCTCCTATTAAGCCAGCTGGCATATAGCAAGAGAGGGTCATGCTGGACCTGGGAGAACCATGCCACCATCTATATGTGGCACATTTAACTTTCGATTAATAGGTACCTAATGTTACTATTCACCAGTTAACTGGGAGTGGGCAAGGTCGGGAGATGGGTCCGTGGCGTCATTTGCCACAGGCACTGCCTAGCAGGGCACCCAGGCTGAGTACCACCCATTTGTCCATTTGGACAAAGTTCCAAAAAAGGCTGTTGGTACTGGTAGGTACTGTCCTAAACCATTACAGATCTCTACCAGTCAAACACAAGACGATTTTCACCGACCAACAGTTTGGTTATAAGCATGGGTCTCACGCCAAACACAAGCACAAGCAGGTCTCATCGTGACACTCCATAGTTTATCATCACCTCTGCAAGGCATTTAACCCTCGCCCGTATAGGGGGGGGGGCGTACAGACCCCCCTCGGTTTTTCGCGAATAGGTAACTCGCGTAAAAAGCGGACGATCGCGACGAAACTTTCAGTACCCTCGAGTTGATCAATTCTACACCTACTCTGAAACTTCCATGACCCTGAGGCCTGACCCAAATGACCTTTGACCTGTGACCTACTTTTCGAGACATGTTTGGCCGGAATCGCGATTCAGTGTATGTCGGCTCGCATTAGCCTTGCTTTTGCAGTCTTTTCATGGTTTCAAGCATTCAAACATGTGATATGATGTTGCCCCCATGCATTAAGGTGGTTGTCAAGGTCACCTGAAGGTCAGGTCAGGTCATTGACCTTTGACGACCTCGGTTCACTTTTTTGAGTTTTATATGTTTCTAGGCCAGTTTTTGGAGCTGAATTCGAATTTAGCAGCCATATGAACATTTATGAAGTTGTTTAGGTGCCTTCGTAACATGTTACGAAGCTGTCGGAGGTGGTTGACACTTACTACGAATACCCAGCAGGACCCCTACTACTGGATGACCTGACCTGACCTGACCTGATCCAACCTGGCCTAAAGGCATGAAGACATCATCCGTGATCAATACTAACATGATATTCATTATCAGCACCCCAAAAAAACCCATGAGACAGCCACACTTAACGACATTCTAACGGGTCCCGATTTTCCAGACTTTTGGGTCACTGACCTGACCTAGGACCTCAAAATTGGGTATGATCGGCTTCCTCTCGTCACGGGCAACATGCTCGTTTTTTCCGCGAAGCTCTAGCTCAATCTGGGGCGAAATGGCAAGGGGGAATCCAACAAACCCTCCCTCTTGTACGTTCCCGGCTGGAAAACATCAATACGGGCGAGGGTTATATTACCATTCTTAATTGCAAACTTTGAGTTAGCTTCACACTCAAATCTCAATGGCTTGAGCACGGCTTGAGTACCTAGGTAGGTACGTACCTCACTAACAGTCAAGTGAAGAAAATGACATAAATTAGTGATCATTGAACAACCACTGACCTTGACCTCCTGTGCAGTCTTATCTGAAATATTAATGCTCTTTTGCTTAGGGGTTGGGGCCTAATTTGGGCCTAATCAAAACCAAAAATAAAAAACTCCACGTCCTACACTACACACGCCTGCAAAAAACGTGAGCGCCATATTATGTTCTGAGTTCGCCACAAATGTAGTCAGAGGAATAGCTTCCAAGTCTATTTTTCCCTTCAATATCTCATACTTCCCCTCTTTGTATTTTATCAAAATATTGGTTTTTGTTGAAATAAAAGTAAGTTTTCTTCAAACAAGTTTTTTTCAAAAAAAAATTCGAGGATGTTCAACTATCAAATACTGGTCAACTACACCAAAAAATGCATAAATTGGAAAGCAAAGAGTAAAAATATTTTTCCCAAGGCGAAAATACCACTGCTTGTGGTAAAAACCTCCAATTTAAAGCTGCCATATCACCACACGTCCTCTTGAAAGCATGGCGCCCACGCGTGCGGATATGGAGGACGGAGTTGAAATAAAATTTGCCCAAAAATTGGCAGGGAATGAGAAGGAGGGACGAGATAAAGCGCTAAGAAAGCTGAAGAAATGGATACAACTGAAAGCATGCCAGGACTCGTCGGACTCTGGTAAGTAAAACCTGAAAGAACCGGTTTTACTTTCTGATTCCGATTCACCCTGCTGCTGCAGCCAATCTGGCTTCGCATTTGATGCTGTATCAAGCCTCTGATGAATATTGAATCTCTAAGGATGACAATTTGCAAATTTTTCAGCGCTAGATAGGTACTGTATGTCTGGTGCATAGTTTGGGTAGCTTGCTTGCAATGTTCAGAAATCGGAATTGCAATCTGTTATCATGAATTTACAGTTACTATGTGATGCTGAGCTGTTGGACATGCCATGGATGATAATTGTGAATAACATTTTTTAAATGTAATTCTTAAGTACTGAGCTATTTAAGAGCTATTCTTCTGAGCTATTCTTTATTTGGACGGTAGACCTCCCTCCAATCATATTATCCCATTTAGAGGAGAGCTGCTTCTCCTTCTCCTATTCCCCTTCTCCCAGGCTACAGCTGAATGGAGAGCCTGCCCCACATCTGGTGATGCTTATTGTTATCAGGTTCTGTTGCTTTTTCTTTGTCCAATAAATAGTGAGAATATCAACATTTACAAAGATGCATTTTGCTAAAGTTCAAGTCAAAGAAAATGCATTTGATATTGTTCTTTCATTAAAGTCTGCTTGTGATGATCAGGCAAAACATTTGAGTGAGAAAAAGAAACATTCAAGATTGCTTGTTATTTCAGCCAATTATGTCTGCACTATGGTGTTGGTAAGACTACCAGATGACACCTCAGCCAGTGACAATATTCTCTGTCCTAACTTTCAGGTCATTTTTAAAGGGATCTATGGTTTCATGGACTGAAGCTTATAGCTTTGTATTCCTTATTTAAAGAGTAATGACTTTGGCATTCAACTAGAACTTTCCAGCTGATTGTGCCCCAAATAAAGCAACCTGATCACTTTGAGTCCAACCAATATTCCTAAAAGTTTGTTGAGTATCTTATTTCACATGTGTTTCTCCTGAGCTGTGTCTGTTCATGTCAAAATGGTGTTTTAAGCTATCGCCATGCTACAAGGATCAATATGTGTCATGTAAAATATGTACCTACCTAAGGAAAGATCAATTTCTTTAAAGACCAGCCTAGAGTCTAACTCTGGGGCTCTGATATGAAAAACTCCATCCAATGGCATAATCCAAGTCACTCCCAGTTCCAACTTCACTACATTTTGTCTCAGTTGCTTCTTAAATAAGTTCTGGCCATAACACTGGTTCAAATGTTATCGCTTCACAGGCAGTGTTCCATTTTCACTTGTGTATTATGTTCCTCATCTTTTTCTGAGCGATGGAGTAGGTAACAATGGCAAAGCTCATGTAAGCAAGCTCAAACACCCTTGCACCTTGTCTCTGAGTTTATCACTCATATACCTATGTGACTACATCTACCAACATGCCTGGCTCTGAGGTCGGCATGATTATCGTGCTGACATCAGATGATTCTGATGATGCCATGTCAGAATCTGCCTTTTTGATAAGACGAGATACCGTCGGCGACCCGGCGGCTCAAACCCCGCCCGCCGCTGCGGTCGTCCGGTCCGCTGTCTGACCGTCCGCCGTCCGCCCGCAGCGTTCACCGAGCTGGAGCTGCTCAAGCTGTGGAAGGGCCTGTTCTTCTGCATGTGGATGTCGGACAAGCCGCTGGTGCAGGAGCAGCTGGCCGAGGAGCTCAGTCAGCTGGTGCACGTGTTTCCGCACCGGCAGGACGGCGTCACCTTCTGCCGCACCTTCTTCACCACCATGGCCCGCGAGTGGCACGGCATCGACGTCATCCGACGCGAGAAGTACATGATGGTGAGTCCAGTCGGCGGCCACAACAGTCGGGCGATGGTGCGCAGAACTTTGAACTCGGTATAGTGATTACATCGTACGTTGTACTTGCGGTGCCCTCGTGTTTCTTATATTTGTGATGTTTTGAACTTGTGTCGCTAATGTTCTCTGCCATGTGTATGTCCTGTCTTGAGTGTACTTTTCTGGCGTGTCCGCCGTCTCCCGCCGTTTTGTCGGCCATATATCCGCGGTGTGTCTGACCTCCCCCGCTCCCCCCCTCCCTGTGCGGCTGGTGCGCCGCCCGTCTCCGGCGTGTGCGCTGTCCCTGTCCGCCATATATCTGCGGTGTGTCTGACCTCCCTCTCCCCCACCCAGCTGGTGCGCCGTCTGCTGCGGCAGACGCTGGCGCTGCTGCTGCCGGCGGCCGCCGGCGGCGGCGGGTCACTACCCCGGCTGGTCGCCCTCTGTGAGGAGTCGTTCGCGCGCCGCGAGGACCCGGCCACTCTGCCGCTGGGCCTGCAGCTCCACCTGGTGGAGATCTTCCTGGAGGAGGTGGCTAAGGTGGCCGGCGACCGGCTCACTGAGGACGACATGGAGCAGCTGCTGGCACCGTTTGTACAGGTAAGACGCCACTGCAGGGTAGAGACGTCCTCTGCAGGGCGGAAGTGGGCCTACGATGTGCCCTGAGTGTGTGCTAAGCTTTCAGACGCTGTGGGTGCCCAATGACCACCGAATACCGTCCTCAGGACGTGACCAACTTACCTACCGTACGGCCTCGGAGGCTAATTATTACCGTCTCTGCGCCGTCCTCAGGTTCTGAAGGTGACGAAGCAGTCGGCGCTGCGCGGCACCATCACCGACAGCGTCTTCTACCACCTGATGCGGCAGAGCGACGTCGGCATCGCGCACGACGCCATCGTCAACGGCGAGACGCTCGGGGACGACAGCGACGACGATAACGACGAAGCTGAGGTAGGAGGGGGAGAGATGGGAAGGGTGGGCTGAGGAAGGACGTCAGAAAGGGTGGCATGGTTCTTGTTTGGGCTTTTGTGCTAAGGAAATCCAAAAAAGACTGTGAAAGAAACATGTTACCATTTTGATTCGATGCTTTTGCAATGCTAGTGGGTTAATTGGTGTATGTTTTTTTCACATCCCGCACATTTCTGTCTTGTATCTCCCATTGTGTTTTATCCTCTGTCCCCTTGTGTCCCCTCTCTTTCAGGACTGTGACGGTGGCGGTACCGATACCGACTCCCCGGCGGGTGATCTGGTGCTGGGCCCCGTACTGACGCCTCTCCCTCTCATCCCTCCTCCCCCTCAGGACAGTGACGGTGCCGGGTCTGACTCCCCCTCTGGTGATCCGGCGCTGGACCCGCTCGCGCTGACAGCCCCTCCCCCTCCCTCAGGACAGTGACGGTGGCAGTGCCGGGTCTGACTCCCCCTCTGGTGAGGCTGTGCTGGACCCGCTCGCGCTGACAGCCCCCTCCCCCTCCCTCAGGACAGTGACGGTGGCAGTGACGGGGAGGACTCCCCCTCTGGTGATCCTGTGCTGGACCCCCGGGCCGGCGGAGTGGACGTGACGCTGCCGCAGCTCTCGGTCGACTACGGCCGGCTGGCCGACTCGCTGACCGCTGCCGGAGCCGAGCCCAGCGTGCGGCAGAAGAACCGGACCGCACTCTACCGGCTGGCGCAGCAGTGAGTGGCGGTTACGGGGTACTGGGATATACTGTAATAGTGGCCTGGCGCAACAGTGAACTATGAAGGAAAAAACTATGCTTGCAGTTATTTAGATTCACGTGGCGCATCTAGGCTAGGTGTGAAGAATCGCGGCGTATCCTCTGTTAGTGTTGATTCCAGTCATGCTCCCAGTCTGACCTGTGCCCTCGTCACGGTCAGGTTCCGCGATCTCAGTGAGGGCGAGTACCCGCTGGCGCTGAAGATCCCCGACAACATCGACTCGGACTCTGATCTCAGTGACGAGGACCTGGCGGCCGCCGTCCTCCGGCTACAGGTCAGTATAGGGTGGCACGGGTGGAACTTTGTGCGGAGCTGGGAGGGCCCAGGCGCAGCAAATCCGCCGCCGCCCTAGCGGTGACCTTGACCTCCGCGGTCTGTTGCGGCTCCAAAGTCAAGCCGGCGTCGAATTTGGAGAGCTCGGGCCCTCCCAGCTCGACACAAAGTTTCACCTATGCAGGTAGGTCAGGGTACGGGCAAACAGAATCGGTCTTAGTGTACGGTCAGACAGGGGATCGGTCATGGGGACCTGGCCGCCGCCGTCCTCTGGCTTCAGGTCAGCGTCTGCTGCTGTTCTATCCCGCCCCTAAAAAAGTATGCATCAATGCAGTAGCATACCGTCATGCATCTATCCAAAATATATTCTTAGTAAATGCGATTAGGGTCCTATATTTGCTTATTCGAGTTTCTTTTGTTTGCAGTCAACAAAGAAGAACCTGAACAAGGACAGCAGGAAAAACCAGAAGAAGCGCCAGCTGACTGAGGCCGCTGAGGAGCCGCAGCCGAAGAAGAAGAAGAAGCTGAGGCACAAGCAGGTGCTGAGTAACGGCGTGATCGACACGGGTGACGAGCTGATGGCCGAGGCGGCCGGTGCTCCGCCGCCCACCGAGACGCCCGCCGAGGAGGCGGACCCACAGACCGGCCGGCGCCGGACGCTCAAGGAGAAACGCCGCCTCAAACTGAAGGAGAGACGCGAGGCCGAGCTGGCCAAACAGAAGAAAAAGAACAGGAAGGAGGCGAAGAAGGCCAAACTGAACGGGGACGTGCAGGAAGAGCACCAGGGTATGGCGAACGGGGCGGTTTTAAACGGTGATCACGACACGGAGGAGGCCGCGCTGGTAGTTGATGGGGGCAGCGGGGAGCCGGCCGAACCGACCCCGAGCTCAGCAGAGCCGCAGGAGAGCGCGACCCCCGTCACAGCGTCCAAGAAAAAGAAGAAGAAGCGTGCTGCGGAGGAGGAGTCTCCAAAGACAAGCATCGTACCCGCTAGTATAGAGGACGACTCCACCTCTCCAAAGACAAAGAAGAAAAAGAAGAAGCAGCTGAACAAGTCAGCAGCCGAGGCGCCATCGCCAGCAGCTGAGGTTCCATCTCCCGCGCCGGCTCCTGTCCTAGAGAACGGAGCCGCATCGCCGCCCGAACAGAAGAAAAAGTCCAAGAAGAAGAAGGCGGCGGCGCCGGCGGACGGAGCACCGCCGGGTGACGCGCCTCCCGCCGCCGCGGCTGTATCCTCGATCGACTGGTCGCTGGGCACCGAGGACAACTGGGACGACGCCGACCCGGCCCCGGCGGTACAGAGGCCGGCCAAGAAGGCAGCGGCCCAGCCGTCTGCCGTGGCGCACTTCGTACCCTCCAAACCGGTGCCGGCCTTCGTCAAACTGCGCACCGGGAAAAAGGGCGCCGCGTCACCAAATCAGGTCAGTCAGAACTCGGGGCGAACTGAGAAAACTTGCTCAAAATAAAGTAATGTTTTGCGTTGCATATTGATATTTTTGCTTCAAAACATAATCTAGTACTTCCATTCCTTCCATACGGCGAAAATAATTAAGGCGTTTTCTTATATCAGCCTGGGACAACTGTTGCTGTGTCACTGCTGACATTGTACCGCACATCCTGCAGAAATCTCCGGCCACGCCTCGGACTCCGGGCAAGACAAAAAAGGTCATCATCAACCTGGCCGAGAACAAGGCACAAGGTCAGTCTCTGAATACACAAAGGGGTCGGTACCCAAGGTGGGGCTCTGTGATCGTCTGATTAAGGGTGATATGAAGCCTATCGAACAGTTACGGACAAGTGCAGCCTTAGCTAGGGGTGGCTGAGGTGGTTGATGTCTATTCTTGTCCTGCCTCGTGTACGCAATGTTCAATTACTATGTGCGCAATTCTCTTCTCGCCGATTTTGTAAGCGTGATTGGTCCTTACGTGATCACCAGTCTTTATGCCTTGCGACATTTTACACTCTGCAGTCTGCACCCTTCCTCCGACAGGTTTCCAGGAGCACCTGATGTTTAACTCTACTCTGATTTCCCCGGCAGGTTTCAAGGAGCACCTGATCACGGTTCGCAACTCGCCGCAAGTCCCGCACAACCCGAGCCTGCGGCCAGTCAAGGGCCTGCTGAAGCCCTCCCCGGCCCCCTCCCCGGCCACCCCGGTCGGCGGCTCGGCCGGCGGACGGCGCAGCCGCGCTGCCGACTTCTTCAGCGTCTGAGCGGGGCGGGGAGGGTAGCGAATGGTCCAGTGTCGTCGGTGACTGCGGGAGGGACGGTCCTCCAGTCGGGGTGTTACGGTGCATGTGTTGGTCTGACTGGTCGCGGTTGGTTGTTTGCGCGCCGTGATTTTGAAACTGTTGATGCGTTATGCAGCGGTGAGATGTGATTAGGATGATGTGGTGCCGACTGCGTGTGACCTGTGACCTGACCTGGGTCAGTCCGGAGTCACAGCGGCCTCCCGGCCGGTCTCTGGGTACAATTTCCGCGCGGGTCGTCTGTGGTCGTTCGGCCGCCTGCAGCGCTGTGTGTTGGGTGGCACCGAGCCGCCCCCCGCGGCGGCTCAGCCGGGTGCAGTTACGGCGGCAGGTGCCGCTGTGATCGCCCAGTCGCCGCCGTGCTCGGCGTCCGCCGGGTACCTGTCTCCGCTGGACGGCGGCGGTTCAGTGGACGGGTCGGCGCCTGGCGAGTCGAGAGGAAGGTGATGTGTCCCCGCCGACCCGGACCGCGCTGTCCTAATGCACTGACGGGTCCGCGCCGGCCGCCACTGGCCCGGCGCGTGTGCCGGTTTTATCTGAACATTTTGATCCATATGCAATTTGACAATAGAAAGGTCTAATTTTGGCTACTGTGTCTGCTGTCTGCCGGTTCGTGTGAGTGATCTCAAAGCATAACAACTTCATTTACTCTACAGGGTGATGGTCAGATCGTCACTCGGAGCTTTGAAGCACTTGCCCAGCCCCTCACAATGCGCTCAAACATGCAGTTTTATTGCTTTATACGATATACACGCATATACAGCCTGACGAGTCGCTATGTACACCGCAGTTTAAACACTAATGCGCAAACGTATCACAGCTTGGTCAGCTTACTGTGAGAGAGAGAAGTGAGAGACGACTGGCTGGCCGAGCGCGCGCCAATACCCTGGTGGCGCGACGCGGCCACCGCACACCCTGTCTGGTTCGCGCGCGCGCGCCAAACGATAACGCAATCCCTGAACCCGCCTTGGGCCGCGGCGTGGCGGAGCGCCGGCACCGCAGCCGCTTCACACGGGCAAACGGAGGTGTCACACTAAATAAAACACAGGCGTATCGACCACGAGGCGAGTCGATTTCGAATAAAATTCGGACCAGGATTAGATCGGTGGTGGATTCATTAGTTCTGTTCCGCGGCGTCTTCGTCGAGTTAAGGTAACCAATTGTCTGTTAGGAGTCACCGGTCGGCCGTTCCTGTAATGTACTTGCGGCGCCCGGACGGAGCGCCCAGCGGTCACCCTCCGTCCTAGACTGGGCCCGACGGCACGGGCTGCTCCTGAACGGACGCGCCAATGCCCGGACCAGGCGCGTCACAAGTCGCCGAGGCGCGCGCACACCCGTACGCACGGCGCGCCGCCCACACATGGCTGAGCGGCACAGAGTTAGTTCTATATCACCAGGTACGAGTGGACGCACCACACTCCGCGCACTGAGCGCCACTGAGGTTCATGGCACAAACTGAGTCACCCGCGGCGCGGGCACGGAACACTGGGCGGGGGCGCGGCTGTCACGTGACGGTCAGGTCAGCCGGCTCCTGGGACGAGGTCGAGCCGCCGCCGGCGTCTGTGAACGAACACGATACGGCTTTAGTAAGCAGACACACGTGGAGATAATAAACTGATCAGCTTTAATAAAGATAGGGTGAAGCTCGAGATTTTCGTGCATCACGCAGTTTAAGACTTCAGCAAGCAAAACTAAAGTCCCGAGAAACAAGCGACCGAAGTACCATGAATAGTGATTTTGTGGTTGCGCCCCCTGAGAACTTATGCACACCGTATCAGGCATCAGCAGCAGCTCGATAGAGCTTCACACAGCCTCTGATTCGCCGCGCGGCGGACTGACCTTGTGACGTGTCGTCGCCGGATTGGTCGGCGGCGCCGGCCTTGGCCTCCATCTGTCCCAGAATTGGCTGCAGGATACGGCGGCGGGCGTTGATGAACCAGTTGTTGACCTGGACCAGGCTGAGCCGGGTGGCGGCCGACAGCTGGTGTTTCTCCGCCTCGCTCGGGTACGGGTGCTGCCGCAGAGAGAGGGGCAGGGGTCAGAGAGGCGGAGAGAGCAGAGAGAGGACAGAGGAAGGGAGGGAAGAACAGAGGTCGGAGAGGCGGAGAAGACGTAGGTGGAGAAAGAAAAGGCAAAGTTACATGAGTGTGGGTCGTCGTCGATGCCGACCCTGTCACAACTGACAAATGACTGGCACGGAGACGCGTTAGACACGGAGAGTGCATTGAAGACTGGAGGCATTGAATGATGAAAGCAAGAGAAGTTGCAGATGTTTGATGCAAAAAGTGATAAATGTTTGGCTTCGTGAACTAGCGGCATGCCGGGCATAAGCAAGCACCATCGCACCTGCAGGTAGCAATATTCCCGTCATCTGTCCACACATGCAGGCCGTCACGCTGCAGCGTATAATGCCCATTGCCCACTTACCGCCATGTGCTGGAAAAGCCACGACTTGAGCACATCGGTCGAGTGTTTGGGCAGCACGCCGCGCTTCTGTTTCCGGCCGCCAGGGTCGCTGTCGTCGTCCGTACTGAGCGACGACGGCGACCGGCACCCTGTGACAGCAAAGTGAGAGGTCAGGACAGCGCCAGCGGCACGGCGGACGACTCCTTGAGGGGATGCAAGGCAATGAGCTAGAGTTGACCGAGAGTCGACAGTCATATTAACACCAGACAACACGACCAAACGTCGGAATGCAGTATAGGTACTCGAACAGCGAAGTGCGAACTCATAGTAATGTTCATGACTAACAATCGAACTACTGATTACGCAGACACGGTTCGAGCTGTGTTGAGCGTTTTCTCGCTCCTATTCACGTACCTGTGTACCCGGGCAGTGCGCCGCCGCCACCACCGTCGTCTGCCGCCCCGCCGCCTCCGCCCGTCGTCTCGCCGCCGTCAGCCGACTCAGTTTGTGCATGACCCAAGACTAGAACCTTCCCCCTATCGCGGACTGCCTGGAACAGTGCCGGTGACGGAGAATCCACACCACCAGGGGCCACAGGGGGGGGGGGGGGGGGCACAGCAAACACTGGAGGTCAAAACGTATAAAGACATATCATCCTCGGCTCTCGAGCAATGTCATGTCTACGCATCTATTCGCAAGGAATGGGCATATGATTGCGTTAATTCTGAAACCACACGACACAGGCATATCATCCCCACCTTAACATTAGATTTGAGTTGAGATAGCCAAAATGGGGTCCCTGGCTCACAATTACCGGTTTCGGCACTCACAACATCGAGAAACGCCTTAAATCGGAAATATTGAATTTCAAAATTGCAGCATTTTGATTCAGAGGGGCTAATGCTTAGGAATACCCCTCTGAATGTGTGACGTCAGCGCAGATATCTAACGATTTTTAAATGTTTGACTAAAACGTTTTGTAGCACGCGGTGGTATATGCTATTTGCGCGCAACATCTGCCGCAAACGCCGCACTTCTAAAATAAAGTCGCTAGAAACAGCGGAGATCCCAAAAAAGTAAACAAAAGTAAAAGTCTAATATCTTGAAAACCGGTGAATATTTTTTGGTGAAATTTGGTAGATATTCGTTTTCGTTCTTTCTGAACCGAGCGACATCACTTTCATGCCAATTCATAAACTTTTTTGAAGGTGGGAGGGTCCCTTTAACCGCAGCAAGTCATCGGACATTATGAATGGCGGTCACCGTCATTCATAAAGTCGGTGTTGTGGTATCCCCGTGTTGTGGTCAGAGTGGAAGGCAACCGTGTTCGCTGTTGATCGGTGTGGCCAGTGGGCAAAGGACGCGAGATTCCTGGCCTGTATAGTCGACTACAGAATGATGTTCCACTCCTCAGAAGCTATCAGTTGACCGGAGCGCTAAGTTGTGCCGTTTATCACGCAATTAAGCGTGTCGATTGTGAGCGTTGGGACAATGTTATAATTTGTGAACTCAGCCCGTGTGATACGACACAGCCTACCACTCCAGGCAAATACTATGCCTGTGAAAAGTGGAGCATCATTCTGTAGTCGACTATACGTGGGAGCTCCTAGATATCGATTATCGAGGAACTGCAGTCGTGAAGAGTCCAGTGACCGAATTGCACGAAATTACAAATGAGAAAACCCGACGCGTGAGCCCTTGTCTGAGACATGCGTGCTATACCATCGTATGCATAAACTGATCGTAGGTACATAACTCACTTCTACACACAGTAAACGCGCTATACTGTCGGCAGCCCTCCCCCCCCCCCCCCACCACCACCACCTGTAAATACCGAGCACCACCTGTACATACCTACATGTACCCCACCCCTCACCCCGGTCCCCCGTCGGTAACGGCTCCCGTCCCGCGACTCGCTCATTTCGTCCCCCGCCGGGCGCTGTGTGCCGTGGCCCGGTGCAAATTTCCATGTTGCGCGCCGCAGTGCAGTGCAGCTCCGGTCGCTCGACCGGCGCCGGTCGCGGCCCGCCGGTCCCGTAATGGCCCGCTCCCATGATGAGGCGCGTTACGGCGCGCACTTGGCCGCGTCGGCCGGCTCGCGCGCCACGATTGCCGTCAGCACGCCAGCGGATCGTTTGCCGCGCGGCGCCACTCCGCGGCGCGGCGCGGCCCGCCGCCTTTGACGCCCGGCCCGCCCCCCGGCCGTTTTAACGGGGCGCGCTTCACGCCACTGCGAGCCGCCCGCATCGAGCCGGGGTCCTGTAGGAGGCGATGGGCCGGAGCTAACGAGCGCTGGTGCACGCTGCACGGGCTCCGTGCACCAGGCGGAGCGGGGATCGGCGGCCAGGCCCTGCGCGCGCTGTTTGGGTTTGGCTGCGCGCGCCCGCAGGGAGCTGAAGGGTTGAACACCCGCAGGAGACTGTTTGTGAGGTGTGAGGGCGGGCGCCTGTGGGTGCGAGCCGCACAAGATCGATGCTACCGCGTACCTACGAATACGTGAGAAGGACGGCTACTGTCGCGGCCCGGTGGCCGGCTGACGTCAGGAGCGGAGCGGCCCTTTATGGCCCCTTATTGGCCATCAGGTGGGACAGGCGGCAGATAGGACGTGGGGCGCCGATCGGCGACAAGGCCATCGCTGAGCTGAGCGTCATTTACTACCGCAGGCCACAATAGGCACCCTCCCTACCCTACAGACCGCGTTTCAAACGGAGCATGGAGCATGCATTGTATCTGTCACACAATAGAAACAAAGGGATCCGAATGCATACACTTGGTCCGGCCAATGCACCGGCAATTGCAGGCGAACGAGGCCTACGGAGCGCGCTTTTGACGTCCGCCGACCACGTTGCGAACTTAATTGGTCGTACTTGAGGCACTCGAGTGGCTGTTCTATGACTGTTTTTACCGCACGTCAGCTACTATAGGCGCAATTTGTCTCGGATGAGCTCACAGAGACACTTCTGACCCCATCCCCACCCCTGAAGGCAACAGGTGCAACGAACATGCCTTCGAATGTCAGTCGTTCCGCATACATGACACCTTAATCACGGTGCATCTTAATCGCAGATCGCCGCTGAATGCACCACTGAGAGTGAGCTCGACAGGGTCTGGCGGCTCATTTCCGGTGGATGGCTGTACAGTGTACGCGCTGTATACGCTCGTACATACGGTGCACGGGTGAGTGCACGGGTGCCGCCTCCGCCCGGGGCCGCGGTCAGTCCGCGTATACCCTACGCCCGCCCGGCGGCGGAGCACGATGAGCCGATTGCGTGAGGCACCGGCCGCGGCCAGCACCCATTTTCCGGCGGATAAATTCGCGCAGAGTAATTAATGTCACACTTGCGATTCATCCGTCTGTTCGGACATACATGCAGCATGTGAAAACTGAAATAATATTGCACAATCATAGACCCATTACGGCCATCCGCTGGGAATTAAGGCACATTGACGAGCTGAAATTGGTGTTTGGTGTAATTTTACAGAGCTGTAACTGCGCCGGGCGGCCATTACGTTCGGGCCGGCGGCGCCGTAAGTGGCGTGCTGTGCAGCCGGTAACCGCGACATTAGCGGCGCGCCGCCGCCGCCGCGCCGTGCACCGACCGGCCGCTAACGGCCGCAGAGATGTTGCCCTGTTAGTGGTATGTGATAATTTTACTGAAATGGATGTATCCTCGTACGGGCCAGATGGCCGGCCGGCCGCCGGCCGTCACGCCAGCAATGACCCGCTAACGGCCCCGTAAGCGGCTCTGATGGCCGCACGGGTGGGAGTACGAGCAGGGGATGATGAATGCCGCGCTCGCAGCGGCGGCCGGCCACCGCACGTGTGGAGCCCGGTGACGGACAGCCCGCAGCGGCACTACACCTGACCGCGGCGTCACCGCCGATTTGTGCGCCGAAGATACACCGTCCCGCGTCAGCCGATGACAAAGCGCCGCACTTTACGAGCTCGGCGATAGTGGCCATATACCTAAATCAGCGCTATATGAGCGGGCCGGGCGGGACGGGATGTAAGTGATGTGCAGGCGGCGGCAATGTGCTGCCCGGCGCCGGGGAGGCCGACAGGCCGCTCTGCTACGAGTCAGATTACCGCGGAATGCAGCGATAAACAAACCCGACGAGAGGCGCCGGGCCGGAGCTAACACGCCAGCTAGGACCGCCCGCCCCCGCCGGCAGGGAGGGCACTGGTGCAACTGAGCACACAGTGAGGAGGGACTGGAGGGAGGCGGTACCTACTCGGTATGGGGCCATTTGTTGATACTGTGGTGTCAGTGTCAGTGTCAGTATCAGTGTGTGTCACTGACACAGTGCCTGGTGGTGCAGCAGCTGCTCGCTCGCCCCGTTGATATACTGTGATGTCAGTGTCACTGTGTCAGTCAGTGTCAGTGTGTGTGTCACTGACACAGTACCTGGTGGTGCAGCAGCTGCTCGCTCGCCCCGTTGATGCTGTGGTGAGAGCCCGGTGAGCTGGCTGGTGAGTCGTAGTAGTCGGACCTCAGCAGGTTTTCACTCTGCATTTTGCCCTTGAGGCAGGTAATGTACCGGTTACAAAAGTCCTTACACAGCTCTTGCACTTTCTCCAGCTCTAACAAGTGGATCCGCAACACCTGGATCGCCTTGATCATCTGAAAACACAGCAGGATACAGTTTGTGAACAGCAGCGCCCGGTAAATTTGGGAGTGTCACGGACTTTTGATTTGCTTAGTGAGCGTTGAGAACGGAAGATAACAAACGTCAACAGTGAGCGTAGACAATTCACGCCTTAGTGTTCGTACAAATGAAACGACTGACTACGCTGTGCTACTTAAATAGACCATCATTAAAACTGGTTATTTAATTATTTCGTGCGACACAGTCATCTTATAGGGCAGCATAGCCCTGCAGTAGACGCAAAACGTACGATCGCTCATCCCATCCTGTCATCACTCCCTGCGTGTCCCGTCCCGTGGCCCGTTCCCTCCCGCTCGTCCGTCTGTCCATTTCGTGTCCCGTCCCGTCTTATCCCCGCGTTCCGTCCCGTGGCCCGTTCCCTCCCGCTCGTCCGTCTGTCCATTTCGTGTCCCGTCCCGTCTTATCCCCGCGTTCCGTCCCGTGGCCCGTTCCCTCCCGCTCGTCCGTCTGTCCATTTCGTGTCCCGTCCCGTCTTATCCCCGTGTCCCGTCCCGTGTCTCGTTCCCTCCCGCTCGTCCGTCTGTCCGTCCCGCATTGCTTCCTGTCTCATTCCGTCCCGTGTCCCGTCCGGTTTGGTGCCATGTTGCACCCCGTCCCGTCCCATTGGTCCCGTCCGTCCTCTCCCCACTGACCAGCTGGTCGACCTCGGGCTGGTCAATGAGGAACGGTTTCCGGTCGCGCTGCTGGTGCTGGATGAACGCCTGCACGTCGGCGCTGAACGTCTCCGCCGAGCACACGTCTGCGGTCTGTGTGGCCAGCTCGCACTTCTCCAGCAGCAGCGCCAGCAGCGGGAACAGAGGGTGCTCGTAGACGGCCCGCTTGTCGGCCTCGAACTGCGCCTGGCTCTGGTGGTAGTGCGGCGCCGCGGGCGGCGCGGCCACCTCGGCCGGACCGCCGCCGCCGCCGCCGGCCGCCACCGGCGCCGGCACCGAGCCGTCGTGTAGCTCCGAGTAGCCCGGCGACATCATCTCAAACAGCATCGGGTCCGACGCATGCCTGAAACACAGAACGACGGAAGGTCAGCGGGGAGCACGGCGACGGGACGGGAGACCGTCTGGAAACGAGACAGACCTCGTGGGCGACATCGTAGACCTCATGCATCATAGCTCGGGTGTTCAGTTCAGTGATTCTGCAGTTCACGATTTGCGGATGATGAAATGGCGCTGCTGGTCTGTGGTCATTGCCAAGTCAAACCACGAGGGCAGCCATGCAGTTCTGAAGTGTCAACAATAGATTTCTGTAGAGTGTGAACACTATCGTCAGCTCGAAGACCGATTACCGGCCCGCTCCCTGCAGGCGATCATATGACGCCGAGCGGCGTCCGCTCCGTGATGTATCCAAATTGAGCTCAGACCGCGGCTCACGACTCCCCGTCCGCTAAGCCGGGCTCCATTCCCGTCTGCCGCCCCTGGGCTACGCCTGGTGCTTGGCACCGACTGCAGGGGCCGGCGGCCACTCGGTGATTAGCGTGATTTATTCGCGCCATTTAATACCACCCACCGCAGAACTATTTACCGCAATAAGCCGGCCTCGGCGCCGCGAATGCTGCAAATATTAAACAGGCCAGCGCCCTGCAAATAATTAAGAGTAGAGCCCTAAGCAGCACGTATACGGTGGCGCCTTTCCATTATGCATGCTAATGTCCGCCGGGCAGCAGCGTTCGGCAGTCAGAGGTTACACGCCAGTCGCCACGTAACTCCCGAGTTCCACTGCGCGATCGTGGCGTGGGTGGCGCACAGGAGCCGCGAGCCGCGCAGCTATCCCGCAGTACCGCCGACCGGGAGGTGACCCGCCCCGACCCCCAGCAACACCCCCGCGTGACCCGCACCGAGCCCCAGCGACACCCCCGCGTGACCCACCCCGACACCCCCGCGTGACCCGCCCCGACCCCCAGCGACACCCCCGCGTGACCCGCACCGAGCCCAGCCGCTCCGCAGTTGTAAACTCATCAGCCAAACACCGCCATAAAAGCATAAATTATGATTGTATATCATCCATAAACTGGCGCTATGTCGCCGTCGCCGCCGGATTCTGCCGCATTAATTAACTGGCGGTTGGCTGAGCCACCATTCGCCCCAAATCTCGGCGGACCACCGCTTTTGTCTTGGTGCGCTGAATTGGACGACTTTCCGCAGCGCTGCTCAATGAACGATGTCCGAAATAACTCAAACTAGTGTGAATTATGTGCCGAGGGCCATAAAAGCGGGTGTGTAAAGACCCGGCTCATAACATAACAAGCGTCAAGACAATAGAATGACTAAGGTAAGTGGATGATTCATTAAGTTGAGTGAGGAGTGGAGTCACCCACCACCCGCTCTATATAAGCGCCGGCCGCCGGGCTGGGATACCGTCCGTCGGCAGCTCCCCACATCTCGGTCAATATTTAGCACGGGCCAAACTCCCGGCGGCCGGCCTGGGTAAGCACACATCCATCACCATTGCCGATTGGACACACATTCCTGAGCAGGTGGAGGGCCGCAGGCCGGCCCGAGGGGTGTCTGTCGCAACACTAACCGCCGCTGAACGACCGGCTGACCGCGGAGGGAGACCGGCTGGCCGACCCCACTCGGTGACGGCATTGGTGAATATCCAGCCGATGAGTGTGTATACTCACATACCTAAACCTGCCACAGTCACCATACTCCCCGCCTCCCCCCACCGCACTGCGGCTGGCTGGACCGTCCGGCGATCGTCAGCGGGCACAGGCCAGATGAAAAAGGCCGCCCGGCAGGCGATCAATTGGTATGCGCTCATAAAGAGTCGGTTATGCTGCAATGTTTCTCGGTTAACGGGGCGCGCCGGCGACCACCTAGGGGGAACGGCGGCGGCCGCTCGCGGAACGGCTACATCACAATCAGCCGACTGAGACCGACGTAATGGGGCGGACTGTGAGGAGCCGAGCCGGGGAAATGGTATGTGACACGTCTTCAGCCAGAGCCTGAAATGGTCCACCTACTCACTCTCCCATGCCCTCCGTCGCCCTCACACGCCGCCCAACCCTTCCTCGCCCCGCTCTCTTTTCCTTGCTGTCACCCTGGATCGGGCGGTGGTCGGCGTCTCACGCCTGTCACCGTAAATCACATTCAATAGCGACTTACGGCGGTGGACGGCGTCCGGCATATGGCGGCTGGCGCCGTCACTTTGAAAACCGACCAGCCGAGCAATACAAACACATCGTTCACTAAATGAAATTTATGTTCCAGAAACAAAACTCCTAACGACACTATGCCAATGAGCTTAAAATGCATGAACGGGGTCCACTGGCAGCTAATGCAGTGTCTTCCACAAAATGCGTCAGATTATTACTCCGATGGTATCTCAGAGACAGCGCGTACCAGACAGGCTAAGTTCAAAGGAATACGAACGCATAGGCCGTACCGATCATAAATTATCTCAATAACCGACGCCCTGTCCCTGCACCAGAGTTAGAGACAATAGACATCCTAAACTCCCCAGCTATGAACATTGGACAGTGGACAGCCGCCCGTCTCCCCGTTCCTCCGCGGACCGCGGTCCCCGCCGTTCCCACGTGGCGGCGCCGGCGCGCGCCCGTCGGCCGCACGCACATTAGCACCGCGCCAGAGCCGCCTGTTAGTGCCGCCGGGACGCTGTTTTTGTGGCACCACCGGCGGTGACCGGAAGGAGAGGTAGCTGCCGACCGATCCGCCCCCTCGGCGGCACCGCGCCGATCGGGGCTGATCAAGGAGCACGGGAGTCAGCGACTCGGGGAGTCTGAGTCGTCAGCTGAGCTGTGAGTCAGTGACTCGGCGAGTCCCATCCCCGCGCTGACTGCCGTGTGTTTTTCTGGGTAGGTGAGTCACGCTTTCGGCGGTGATATCGGCCGGCCTCGTTCCCCGAACTCCCACCTAACAGCGCCGGTCCGTCGGACACCAGACTCGACTACAGACAGTTTCACCGGCAGCGCATATTGGACACAAATACAGAGTTTTCCGAATGGATTTTACAGAAATTATACAGGCATGAGCAACTGGAGGCGACTCTTTACCTATGTAGATCATAGCTTACGTGGTTTGTCATACCTATGATAAATGGGTATGCATCGCAATTATCAGTAGGTACCGAGCAGGCAAATCAACTCCAACTCGTTTGACTGAACAGATATGTCAAAGGTATCTCGTAAACGTCATTCTAACATGCAATAAACAAAAGCTCGTCGCCACAACAATGCTTGAATGACATCACCACTGACCCAGCGACAAGCTTGCAATTGTCAACCATTTGGCGACCGCCTGCGGTCCTGGTCACCCCTGGTGCCGCCCTACGGACCTCAACCCCTCCCCGATACCGTGGCGGCTCCGCCCCTCCGCCCTGGCCCCCGTCGCCCTCCGCCCACCGCCGCCGCACCGTGCAGCCCCACTGCCCCCGCACCCCTCCCCGCCGCGCCGCCGCCCCCGGGCCATTACCGCGGCGGGCATTCCCGTTTCGCCGTAGTTGGTCGGTGCAGAGTCTGCAGCGCGCGTCACGGACTCGCGTCACGGGCCCGTGTCACGGCCCTGCGGCGTGACGGTCCGACATCGGCTGTCGTTACACCCCCGGCGGGTCAGAGGGGAGGGGAGGGCGCCCCCGGACCCGGGTCAGGAGCCATTGAGCGCCTGTTTAGCGATCGGTCTCAATGGCGCGCCGGTCGGCGCGGGGCGGTCGGTGGCTGATTAGCGATTAGCCCCGGCGCGGCGGCCGATGGAACGGATTAGTGTACCGACGACCGATGAATAGGGGCGCACACCCGTCCCAATGGACCTCCATCCGGTATGTGCACTCTATTAGAAAGGTAAAACACTACACGACCCCGCCAACCATATCGGTCATGACAAACAAATGAACAAATAGCGACGAGCGGTACACAATGGGTCATGTTTGTAGGTGCTGATGGTGCTTATGTTTGTTGACGTCAAGGCCCGTAAACATGCATCAGCTTCGGTAAACATCGATTAAAGAGCAAGGCTAAATGTCTACCGAAGCGCTTGGTCGATGATGCACTGAAGTGCCGATCTGCGTAAAACGGTACAACGCTCGCCTATGAAGCGCACGTTTGTGTCCCGCCGGGCCAATGAAGGACACTGTCCTATTCACCCTTTCCCTCGCTCCCGACTGTCCTCCTGTCCCTCCCCCCCCCCCCCTCCCGTCTGTTTGTCGTTCCGTCCGTCACCTGTCCCTCTCCTATCCGTCCTCCCCTATCCTCCTCCGTCCTCCCTCCGGCCGCGGCCACGGGGACCGCCGGTGATAACACGCATTAGAGCGGTCGGCGCACACCCGATTGGCGGTGACGACCGGTCCCCGATGATGGACCAAGACGGACAGAATGGAAAATAATCACACCGGACGCGGCGCGGGACGGACGGCCGGCGCACGGCGGGACGGGGATGGACAGGTATACATACAGGGCGTCCGGTGTCGGCTCTCAGACAGGTGACGGAAGGGGACGGGGACTCGGGCGGTGGAAAGGTCAGTGGATCGGTCAGTGACCGGTGGTCAGTGATCGGTCATTAGTAGTCCACATAACCCTCGCCTGAAATGCCGTCAAACTATACCTACATATACGGCATGCAGCGCCGTTCTCCTGTCATTAGTTTCACACACATTAGCCTGACTGCGCTACCGCACCGGCCATGGGACGAAAACAGCGGCGACAGGACAGTAGAGCTAAATACTTCATTGAGCTAACTACACCTACCTACTGTCGACATCAGTAACTACAGCCCCGGCTGGTATCAGCCTCTATTGGCGCAAAAATGGGAGCCTGCGCATCGCCGCGGCATTACCGTCAGTGTCATTTGCGTTCGCTTCAGTACGTTGATGAGGCCAGGTATTACCAACAAAGCCGCGTGGAAATAAATAAATTACCTGCTTTGCTAGACGGAGCGTATCGTTGGTGAACTAGTGTTCGCCTCTGCAGCAAAGAAGTGTTTGCACAGTGCCTCGCCAATGCTCTATACAAACACAAATGACTTTATATCATGAAAACGAGCATTGCCCTC